CTCAATGATATTAATGAGTGTAATAAATGGTTAGTTGAGAAGATGGATAGTGATGAAGATGATTATGGGAATAAGAGGATCTTTGAGGATGACAGTGATGATGCTCTTATTTGGGAAGATGTTTATAGAGCTTTAGGAGTTGGTGAGCCTATAACATATACTAGGCAAAGATTTCAGAAAAGAAAGGAACCCATTAATGTTGTTGGTGCTGCATCTAAGACAACGAAAGGTTTGGCAAGTGCATCTTCATCCAAAAATGGAAAAGAGCATATATTTGAAGTTGAAGATACTGCAGTCTTGGAAGAATCAGAAAAAGAAATAGAAGACAATCAAGATATTGATTTTGAAGATTTAGAAAAAGTTGAAGGATATGTCTCGCTATCTGACAATGAGAATGATGATTATATTGGGGCAAAAGGGGATGAGAATGACTGAATGAATGAATTTGTTTTTATTTAGTGTTTTCAGTACTTTATTTTGAACTTTGTTGGACGTATTTAATATTTTTAGTATTTTGTTTTTAAGTTTGAAAATTGAACTTTTGACTTGAATTAATCCTATGTCACATTTTTTATTTATCATCTTTTATATTTTTTATGTAGCTTATTTATTCATATATTGCATTACTACTTATTTTTTTTATATTTCAACTGCTATGTGACTTCTACTCTTTTCCCTGCAACGCTATCCTTTATATGACATTGCATTTTTTTTCTTTTTTGCAATTTTTCGCAATCTGCTATTGATAAAACTGTGCGAGAACACCATATAGAAATTTTACAAAGGTTTTCTAATAATCTTGCTTGAGCAAAAGGACAGTTGAAGCGATATTATCTATTTTTCCCTAGGCAAGAGTCATCTCACTTGAGTGAGAATGTCGTACAACGAGTGATTCAGAAAACTCAGTCTCGCTTGAGCGAGATCTCCTACAACTTCCAAAGTTAAAAATTTTCTACTTCAAAAACAAAAAGTAATAGAATGCAATAATAATATAAATAAGAAGTGTTGCAGTATTTTGAATCTAATTTAAAGGAGGCAATTTCTCTCATTCTGAAGATGCAACCAACTTCTCATCCTTTATACTCTTTAATTTGTAAAATTAGAGAAGCTTTGAAAGTCATTAGATTTGTTAGGTTGTTACATATATGTAAAAAGGTTAATTTGTATGTTGATTACCTCACCAAATTAGGGATAGACTTCCTTTCTCCTTAGTTTAAATATCCCCTTCATCTATTTTTTCTTTTTTTGAGTTTGGATTCTTGTAGTATTTTATTTCCTAAATATACTATGTTAAATTTTGTGGTTGTCGGACTTTTTGTCCTTTTGAATAGAAAAAAATAAATTTGTATAGAAAAAAATAAATTTATCTTTATTTAATTTTATTTTGTTATGGAATAAATATTTAAAATGTTATTCATTATATTATTAAAAAAATGTCATTCATTGTAATTACATTTTGCTCTTTTTTTTTTCTTTAAAATCAATCAAGTGAAATGAAAATTTATTTTTAATTTTTTTCCTCTTAATTCAAACATAAAAATGTATGTTTTACTCGGAATAACCAATTCATGTTTTGCATTTTGATTTCTTTCTGCCGATATTATCGACAACTAGTTATGTTTTATTAGTCTTTCATTGAGATACAGATCTAGTGCAGTTAACGCAAGAACTGCATGTGCAGTTCTTCATTCGCTTAAGCCGATTTGACAAGACTTAAGCAAATTTTACAATTTTTGCTTAAGCCCATATGTCCTAACTTAAGCGAATGAAGGCTTAAGCGAGTACTACATGCATGGAGCGAGACAATGAACTAAAGTGAGTGCCTGATGCGCTTAAGTGAAAAATAATAAAGAGTCTACCTCCCAGGATTACAAATTAGTTTAAACGTGCTTGGTTTGGTTTAAGCTGGGTTGTGGGCTTAAGCTCACATTTCGAAGGCATAAGCGAGTAAATGATGGGCTTAAGTAATACCTTAATGGCTTAAGCCTAAAAAAGCAGAGAACACAACTCCCAGGATTATACTTTCGCTTAAGCGTGCATGGCTTGACTTAAGCGGATATGATTTAGCTTGAGCGAAAATTGCATAAAAAATAATACAGAGAGAATGTTCTTTTGAACTGATAAACTAACTTAAGATATTACAGAATGGCTTAAGCGAATCAATACCAGCTTGAGCGAATATAATGTAGCTTAAGCAAACATTGTGAGCTTAAGTGAGTATTAGGAGGCGTAAACGAATATGCAAGAAAATTGAAAATAGCAACTTAAGTTGACAGACATATATGTATACACCATTTCTGAAAACAAAATACATTTGTCCTTTACATAATTGTTTTTGGCAAAAGGAAATAAAATTATTATTGTATATGACATTTTAATTTATAAGGTAATTTGTTGGGTTTATTTAGTAAACAAGTTAAACAAATTATAAAAGAGAATCAAATTGAAAGGAATTTAGATATTTATAAATAAAGTAAAATTCTATAATTTAGCTGCAACAAACTAAATAGGTCCTTGAAACTTTACAATATGAACTAACTCCAACCATAAACTAAAATCTAAATTTTAAAAAAGAAATAAAGAAAAAATCTTCTAAAGCAACATCATCATGAATAGGCTAGTCGTCCTCCACATGGTCTCCTTTCCCATCACCACCTTCATGATCAAGTTGTGCTTCCCTTTCTTCTACTTCCCCTTCTCCTTCTCCCCTTTCTTCTGCTTCCTCTCCTTGTGGTCCACCATCTTCATGATTTGCATTAGGTTCATTTGGGGAGGAAGGTTTGTATCCAGGCCATGACACTACAGCTGTAAAATCCTCTGAGGTTGGCCATGAAAATATTGAAGTCTCTCTTACATGTTGGTGTAAGGTAAAGCAATAGAAAGATTCATTAAGACTAGTGTAGGCTTGGTGGTTTGCTGCCATCTGGTAGTGTATGTGTATATATGCCCGATTGTTGTCCTCCATTTGTTGCTGTATTTGATTTAGATGTTGTGCGATATGCCATTCCATGGGTGTTATTTTGGGATGGATAGTTGTGTTGATGAGATCAGAAGCTGGATGTGGTTGTGGCTAGTCCTACATTTGCAACAAAGCCCTTGGGCTTCCCGACATTAATCACTGCTTTATGTGCTGCCCAAGGTGTTCAGATACCAAACAAGATGATGAATCTCCTCAGAGATCACAATTGTAATGTCGATTGTAAGGTTTTTCATAATGCTGAAAACAAGGTAAACCTGAGGCATGCGGAGATTTGATGTTTAAGTGGTTGGAACAATGTTTGCAAAGAGAAATGACATCCATATTTGAGTTAATGTCTTCAAATTCCCTCTTTTGAACCTCATTGGCTTGCCTTGATAGTTATATGATTTGTCAGGATGCATAAGGACCTTGCTACATCATCATCATTAAATCTTGTAGTCAGGCGCCTCCTCTACTGGTATTCGCACAACTGCCCTTCTTGTAAGGTGAGGGGGTTCCCCAACAATGCATTGATAGCATCCCTATCATAGGAGATGAATGTCCTTCTAACGCAAGACATCTTCTTAGATTTTTTTGGGTGCAAGGGCCATGCATTGGCAGAAAACTCCTTCACTATGTCTTCATCAATTTTATTTGGTGGGTCAGCTAATGTATTCCATTTTCTCCTCTGAAGTTCTTCTGTAAATTCAGCAAATTGTTCCTCCTCCAAAATAATTTTCCTATCAGGCAGAAGTTTCCTTAGGTGTAATTCCAAATATCTCTGAAATAGGCTCGACTAAAGAACCTGTATCTGTCAAAGGTAAGTTGTTAACTGAGGCTCGATTGTGTTGGAGGTTCATCATCCTGAGTTGCTCTCTGGTGTACATGTTGTGAAGCCTCTCCAACATCTGAACATTGCTTCTTTCTCTAGAGAATTGATTTTTTAGGAGCCATATCGGCAAAGTAACAAATCTCAATACTCAGAAAAATGAAAAATACACATACAGAGAGATGCTTAAGCCACAATGACGTGCTTAAGCGAGTAATGCGTGCTTAAGCGTTTCTTTACAAAAACAAGCGCCTTCACATAAAGCTTGATCTCAATCTAACAACAAGCAAAGTGATAATCCTAAACCCTAAAAAGTTTAACCCTAAACCCTTGAAACCCTTAATCCATAATAGTATCTCCATCCTCATTAACCATCTCTAACCTAAAAGTAAGGAGAACAACAGTGTGGGTATAAAGTTAGTACCTAGAATCCTTGGGTAGCTTTGATAATGAGAGAGGAATGCTACAATGGGGATAATTGTTGTTTTGGTATGGGGTTTAGGGTTTTTGAATATTTCAAATATAAGAATGAAATGAGAGAATGGATTTAAATCTGGATTGCATCAAAAAATTCGCTTAAGCGCAATTTTAAAAGTTAGGAGATAAATGATTTTCAAGTCCCTCGCTTAAGCCACTACATGAGTGCTTAAGCCCTAAGCGCAATTTTAAAAGTTAGGAGGTAAATAGTTTTCTGATCCCTTGCTTAAGCCATTATAACCTCGCTTAAACCCTTTCTCACTTAATCGCGTATATTTTAACTTAAGTGCATCAAACACTCGCTTTAATTCATTGTCTCGCTTCATGCATGTTATACTCGCTTAAGCCTTCATTTGCTTAAGTTAAGGCATATGAGCTTAAGCAAAAATTATAAAATTTGCTTAAACCTTGTCAAATTGACTTAAACAAACAAAAAACTGCACGTACAGTTCCCACATTAATCTAATCTCAGTTTTTTATATTAACTTTTTACAAACCTTTCTATCGACTAAATTTTTTTCTATCCCATCACTTACGTTATTCTGTGCTTCTGTCTCCTCTATCTTCCTCCTCATTGTACAATGTCCATGAAAAATACAAGCAACAATAACATCACTCATTAAAAAAATTTGCTTGATTCGTAAACTTAATAAGTACCACGACAGGTCGTTACATTAAATTTTAGATTATAATTTAGTATACTATTTCACCCAAAGAGTTGTCAATGAGTAATGGCGATCAAAACTCAGGCAACAATTATTGAACACTCCTGTCAGCAACAGAAAAATAATGTCAATCTTCAAGATCATTTGTCAGTGGTTTAGCATTTTTTCACTCGCGCTCTATGGTCGTTCCATTCGGATAATTAATCCATTCATGAAACAACAATTGATAACAAAAGACATTAGCCGACGACAACGACGGGTTCAAACTATTGTAAACATTTCTAAAACAGAAACGTGTCCCTGTCTGTAAATACTAAAAGGGTAAATAACGTAAATTGTACAAAAGGTCCATGCCAAGTAAAACGGGCATTAATCAGATTGTAGGATGTCAATCCCCAAATTTAAGAATTTAATTTAGATTTAATTTAAAGCCATTGAAATCCTTCCACAAAAAGCCAACACATCAGAATGCACTCATGCTGCTACTTTTAATAACGGTGTCTACTCCGGTCACGATCCCGCCCATAATCTCTATCTCGATCAACATAATCCCAGTCTCGATCTCTTCCCCTGTCCCTCTCTCTATTCCGACTGCTTTGCCTATCTTTATCGTTTCGCTCTCTGTTCCTGTTCTCCCCATCATTACGTTCCCTTCCTCTGTCTCTACTTTCTCTAGCATCCCTGTCTATCCCTGTCATGGTATTATTACGTAATGGCTTGGTTACTATAGTTCCAACCAATTCATAACATCATACAAACATGCCAATGATCATAAATCAAATTGACACTAATAACCTATGTGACTCACTTTATGTAAATTGGATATTTGTTAACATAACTCAAACCTAAGATCTCTACATATCCTCACTTCGTGCATAGAATACTCCAAAACTAATAACCAGTTCAATATAGTTTTATGCAAGAACTGGAAACTCTAGTTAGACAATCAATCACTACATAAAAAACTAGACAAAGATAACGAATAAAGCACATAGATAAAGAATGCTAAAAAAGAAAAATGAAAACGAAATGATATCCAATCATGATTCTAGGAGAACATGCAAGTATTCAAAAGTGATAATTCCACCTGACCTATAATGATTATTCAAAAATGTAGAAAGTGTAGAGGTGGACATGGAAGCTTTGAGAGCATGAATAGCAATGTGCAGCTTCAGCTGCTCTATAATAAATTTATGAAGTATAAACAAATCTAGATACGCAACAATACCTAGTTCCTCAACCTCCCAGCCAGCACGCCCTGAACCAGGAAGCCCTCGAGCAGCTTCAGCTTGCTGGGTTTTGGCACGGAACTTCTTCTTTAGATTTCCAAATTCATCATACAACTCTCCATCATCCTGAGAGTAAAAACATATTATAAGACAAGGGTAATACATATAACATCAATCATCTGATTTTAATAAATCTTACTTCAGCTTCCCTCCTACGACGTTTAGTTTCTTCTATTTCCTCTTCATCAAGCTCTTTGTAACCTCCACCTCGTCCTCCTCTGTTTAATTTGAAAGTACAAACCAAGTTAGGAGAGTAACCTCAATAACATTTTAATTGAAAAAAGGAAATTGTGAATAGTAAGACATAACTACAATGAAGTTCAACAACATATGAAAAATAAAGAGGACATCTATGATTGAGGAAATTGAACACTTTCAAATTTGGAACCAAAATGAAAAGTAACAATAAATCCATTTTTGTAACCGGATTAACAACACATCCGGACTAATGTAAAATTTATAATTAACTGGAAATTTGTTTACCAAGACTAATTTGAATTCTCTTGGTCTCCCAGAAAGAAATAGTTCATGGTATTTCCATAAAACACAATGCAATACATTTACAATATAGACTAAGGAAACAAACCACAAGCAAGGTCACACACTTTCAAGCATGCAAAGGGGATAATTGTCATGAAATGGCTTTGCTAACATTTGATCGCAACAAGATGCTTTATACTGTCAAGTGAAGTGAAAAACATCTTTCCTAATATTTTCATGAATGAGGTTCAAGCTACATTTATGCAGTGTTATTAAATGGCAGCCATGGCAGAAAACAGTGGCAGTTTTTTAACAATCCGCCATAAATATGTGGCCGTTATCTGCATGGTGGTCATGGCAGTTGACCATGGCAGAAATTTTAGGAATCTCCCCAAAAAAAAAGGAATTAGGCTTGCTGATTTGACCTAGCTCCACACTGATCCAACATAAAAAACCCAAAAATGTAGACTTTCAACCTTGTTGGCCAGTTATTAGTCTCAGCTTTGTCTTACTCTCTCGCAGCTACCTCCAATCTCCTTCTCTCACCTTCCCCTTGGGTCACCTACTCACCTTCCCTGCTTCCAACGACTGTGAGCTCCAGTAACCCTCATTTTTCAGTGAGCAGGTCTTTTTGTTGCTGTTTTTGTTTTATCCTCCTCCATTCTATTTTTCTTTTTCCTTCTCCACATTTCTCCTCCATTCTCTCTCTCTCTCCAATTTTTTTAGTTTCAACTTTCTTACTCTTCTCAGATTTTCTTCTTATTTCCTTTTAAGTTTTCCTTCTCTGTTTTTCATCCATTTTACATTCGAACACTGCTGCCTTGGTTTGGGCAGCAGTTTTCCTTAACATAGCCTAACAACAAGCTTCCTCAAATTCTTCAAGGGCAGTTAATCTGAATAATCCAACAAGCTTCCTCAATCAGTCTTTCTATTTTCCTTACTTTTTATCACTTTGTTTCACTTGAGGCTTGATGGCTTTTAGTTTATATTGAACTTGTGCTTTGAGACTTAGGCTATTATGTTATTATGAGATCTTGTTATGAGGCATATGATATTATTTGATGATTTTCGACCAATTAGATTCTTGATTTTGACATATGTAGTTAGTTTTTTGGTTTTATATCACATTCTACAGTGTTTTTTTAATATATTTTTCGCATATATATATATTACACTATTTTATTATGGCTGCCATGCTTCTGCCATCCGCCATTGAATCACATATATATATATATCACATCGCGTTTATGCTTGAAAAACATATTGGTGACTTTGTGTTCATTAACAAAAGAATAAGCATGATGTTATTCACTTCGTGCCTGATGGGACTAATAATATACACTACAACCATAGTTGTCTAATCATGCAACTTAGCTCCTAGTGATTATTCAATTATCCACACACATATCAATTTGTTAAGCGAGATTCTGAACAAATAAGGAATACACAACTACTAGTATGTAGTATGTACCAAACTAGCATTAGATGGCATAAAAGGGATCAAATATAATAATACCTTACACCACCCTCATTATGCCCAGGCTTATTTGTATTGCAAATATTGCATTTAGTCCGCTTTGCCCAATTGATATTGCCACACCTAACAAGAAAAGAACATGAGATAAGCAAATCATTTCATTACAATTTTATTTTAAAAGTCGTACATAAACCACAACAGCATATACATGATGTGCAACTTGAATGTCAGGAATAACTTGGGCCAAGTGTTAGTTAAGTATAACATGACTCAAAATGAGGAGATTTAGTCAACACTAAAACAATTAGTGATGATGGACCAGCCCATAATTCATAAACTAGCAAACTTGCAATAAACTCCCAAATCCCAACAGTATGCAATCCACATATTAGTGTAACAACTGTAATTGAAATGAGTGAAAATGAAAAATCAACTGCCACAAGGACACAAGAGTCAGGAGCTTGGGGGGGAGGCATGGACACCTAAACCTAGAAAAGGATAACAAAAGAGTCAAAATTACTAGTGCTTACCACAATAGTTATTTTCAAACAAAAAACCATCCCAAAGTTCTAAACTAACATCCTAACAGCCTGTTAACAATTAAATTGTCCATAGGTTGTAACCAAACCAGCTGCCCTCATGTGACTCAAGTTTGGAAACACCACCAGAGTCACACTCGATCACATGATGGTTGCTGTATTCCTTTAAAATTTACAGACAACTTGAATAGCAGAGGATAGGTTGGAATGTGCTAAAATTGATAGTCAAGGGAAAAGATAATGCAATTGGGATAATATATGAAGGTGGGTACGAGCAGTTTCCTGCAAACATTTAACAAACCTTGCAAAACACAAAAGGAGGATTTTTTATGAATTGGCATTATCAATTAAACAGGAAGCAGTAACTCCTGTTTGAAAAATCTTTATGCACAAATATAGGTTGCTTTTGTGTATCATATGCACGAAAACATACATCTATTTATAGTGGTTTTAAATTGTTTATCAACATTTCTTCCAAAATAACATAACAAAGCCGGATAATCCAATTGATGTAGCTGAGCAGCACATATATGTAAATTTATAAGAAATTTGTTCATGTTACCACTAAAATAATAAAATATGAACATAAACAATAAAATTATCATTGAAAATAATTATAAAGAAATCAGATACAGAAGAAAAAAAGAGAACACAAGGGCAATTTGACATAATCATACATTGGACAAGGCCAGTCATTGGGGCCAAAGAGTCCTCCACCAACTGGGCGGCCAGCAGCCCCTGAATCTTGTACAGCACGTCCCTTACCACGACCACCAGCTCCTGCAATACCAGCAGCACCAGCAGGACGAGCAGTTCCACAACGATTACACGCGCCACGAAAAGCAAAGTTCACATTGGAGCAACTGCTATGAGAAGAGAAGAAATGTTATTTTCTCTACACTATATTATCTAAAATGACTGAAGAAATGAGTACAAGAGCAAGAAAGAGCTGCTCACCAATTTCATATCACAGACCTTGTATTCGGACACAACCAATCGCCCTCTTGTTGCCATGCTTTGCCTGCAGTATCATTTTGACCTCTACCTCTTCCATTACCGCCATTAACATCCCTGGTAGTTCCCTCTAGCCCGCTAACATTACCAGCAACATCTGGCTCTACTGCTGAATTATATGTTTGGTCATCCTTGTTTTTTGACTCTGCTATATAAACTCCAATTATATTACCATGAAAATCTTTATTGTTAAACCATTCAACAGCAGCTACAGCAGCATGCGGATCCTCATATGTTACAGTAGCATCTCCCTTTGGTTCATTAGTCTCTTTGTCTCGATATAACCATATTTTTGGTCTCCCTGTCCGCTTATCTTTCTGCAAAGCATGAATTGTAAATGAAATTGAACTAATAGTTTAACAATAGAATGCAACGCAGAGAAAAACAGGACCGATGTAAAGTGAACAGATGAATGCCACAGACATTAAATCAATCATTACAAAAATTTGAAACTGCTGTTCATTTTAGTGTTCATATAGACAACCACAAATAAATCCCATTTTGCAAGGATAATTCCATTCAAACAATTATGCTTACATGGAAATATAAAATTCCAAGCAGATGACCATGGTAAAAATTGTGTAAATATTTATCTTCTTATAAGATTTTGGATCTTTCCCAAAATAGGAACGAAATTTGGCCAATAAGATCACATCAATTTGAACAATAGCCCAGAGAGTCCATACCTTTACTAATCCAATGGTGCCAAAAAATTCAGCCAACATATTTTCGTCAGTCCCAAAGGGCAAGTTGCACACATAGACAGAGCCATTTGAAGGAGCATATTTTCCAGGATGGCTTGCCATCAGGCCCTTAATATCATGAAACAGAAGCAACCAGAACAACCAGAGAGCTCTGAAAAGAAGTAAACCAATTGACAAGGATGAAAAAAACGCTCACATAAATAAATAAATAAATAAAAGTGAAGCCATAAATTACCCTCTAAGAAAAAAACACTACCACAACCCTAACCGAGATTCTTCAATCAGGTTTGACGACGAAAACAATCAGATACAAAAATATTACTAGATTACTGGAATTGTGCACAAGTTCATAACATCATACGTCAGTGTATCAATGGGAAATAAAGCAGTACTGTAATGCGTTTCCAGTTACGAGAAACCAAAAGCCACGTTAATGAAACGGCTTTGAAATACACCGCATGAGAAAGTAACTGCTCGATGATAAAACAATCAAAGAGAAAGAGAGAAGAATTTGAAGGTTTTGGTTGAATGAACGAAATTGGAGAGAAACAGAACAAAGAAACGGAGAGAGCAGTGAAATGTGAGAAGAGATACCCGAATCGGAGAAGGTAGATAATGGATAGACGAAGTAGTTGGTATCTCTCTCTCTCTCTCTCTATTCGATTCGATAGATCTGCGATTTATCGCTTCTCTCCCCACTTCTTCTCCAGTCTTCGCTCTGTTCCCCCCCCCCCTCCACTGCTCCAATGCCAATCCTTAATCCCTCAATTTACTTTCTCTCTTTTTTATTTTTCACTCTCTGATGGACTCAAGGAATTTCTCTATTATAATATAATTTTGATGATTACAATCAAAACTAAAGTGAAGTAAAATATATTTTAAAATTTGTTTAAGCGATATTTTTCTCCAACGTATTTTTCTGTTAGATATTTAACTATTTTTAAAATTAGTTATTAGATTAAATTAAAAAAAAACAGTTTTTAACTTTATCATTCGATTAAACCCCACAACCTATAAGATAAATGATTTTTTAAGGTATATCTAATAACAAAACCATAAAAGTTATTATATAATAATTTTAATGATATTTATTAATAATTAAAAATGTTATAAAATATAATTTTTTATTTTATTTTAAATTTATTCTAAAAAACAATTAGTGCCTATTTAAATAAAAATAAATAAACTTCATTTATTAAAAAAATAATTTTAAAAAAATTATTAACCTTGGCCTTCGGTTAGGAAAACAAAACATTAGAAAGTATATTTTTAAGTGAAAAAATCATATTTAAAAAATAGTAATTAAGTGTTTTTAAATTAAAAAGTTATTAAATTTAAATATTAACTCAACTCAAAACAAATAATTAGTGTGATATCAATAAATAAAATGTTAATAATACTTTATTTAACACGTTATTTTTAATACAATATTAAATATTTATTGAAAAATATTAAATATATATATGATTAGTTTTGAGACTTATTTATTTATGATTAAATTTTACATATTTTTTACAAGTTTTTAAACAATTAATTAATGATAAATAAGGTCTTAAAAAATGTTGTTATAACTTTCTAATAAATGGAATGTTTTAGTTATATATAGAAAAAATTTAATTTTCACGTTTATAAAAAATAAGAATAAAAAAGTAAAAACAATGATGTAATAAATAAAAAGTATATTAACATTGACTTTTTAGATTAGATTTAAATATTTAAAAGTAATAAATTTTTTATTTTAAAAAATTATATTTATCATATTTTTATATCTATTGTTATAACTATATTTATAAATAATTATTATTTTAAATTTAAATTTAAGTTTTAAATTTTGAGATTGATAAAAAAAAAAATGTCTACTTCTACTCAAAGCACGGATAACACATACCTCTTAAGATTAGTTTGATCGTGATAATAATAATAGATAAGATAATTATTATATTTATTCTTATTTTTATTTAAATATTTATTATGTTATAATATAAAGTTACTTACTTTATTCAACTAGTGTAATTGTTATCATAAAAATATAATTAGATTAAAAGAAAAAGGAAAGCATAATAATTTTCTTTCCAAAATATCTTAATTTATTTTATTATTTTTATTTTCTCTTTTTCTCTTTATTTTTATATATTTTTTAAAATATATTATATTATTTTTATATATTTTTAAAATTAACAACAAATTTAAATTATTTATATATTTTTTATAAATTTAAAATAAATAACTTAGAAAAAAGTAAAAAATCAAAAATTAATTTAATATAAATATAAATAAAAAGGTAATTTTATCATTTTTTATATTTATGTCATATCTTTTTTTTTTTATCAAGTCTACATCAAATATTAGGTATGATAAAAATTTATCATACTCTTATCAAACTTTCTTATTATATTCATCTTGATTTTATCTTAACCAGCAACCGGGTCTTTAATATTTACGTGAGTTGATCTAAGAGTTTATTAAGTAATGCAATAAAAAATTTATATTTATATTTTATTTACAACATGTGTTTATTTTGTTATAAAAATTTCATTATCACAAAGTTTTGTTTGACAAAATATCAACTATAGTATTTTGTAATTTTGATAAAGCTACTCCAAAATTTTAAATGCTAAGATACAATGGTAAATTTGTTTATTTTTCATTTTTTAATATTAAACAAATAAAGTTCCTTTCTTGTGTTGAGATTTCTTCTTTCTTGCATTCTCTCACGAATTAAATAATGAATTAACAATGAAAGAGGAAAAATAATAATAATAATTCACTATTTATAAGGGTAAGTATAGATTTGACTTACATAAAATCAAATTAAATTTATTTTAAATTTAATTATATAAATTTAATTTTAAATTAATTTAATTTTTTAAAATTGGTTTAAAATTAGTTTTAAAATTTAGATTTAGTTTAAAACCAATTGTAAATCTAATAAAATATACTATAAATATGTTTATACTACTATTGAATTATTATATTAAAAAAAATTCATAATAATTAATATAAAATTATATCTACATATATTTTAATAAATTAATAATATAAATTTTTTATATTTTATTAAAATTAAATTCATAATTTTTGCTCTTCATCATCTATCCATGCATAAATATTAATTATATAGATTAAATTTTAAACTAATTTATTTTATTTTCTTTTAAAACTAGTTTTAAATTTTAAATTTAGTTTAAAACCGGTTTAAAAAATGATTTTAGTTGAAACTAGTTTTAAAGTCAATGATTTACATTAAGTTAATTTTAAAATTCAATTTTAAATTTAATATTTAAGGTAAAATTAATTTTTAATATATTTATAAATTTAATTTTTAATGTAAAATTATGTTGTTGTATTGCACTCTTGCATTATATTAGTGAATTTTTAAAATATTTTAGTAATTTTTATTAATTATATTATTTTTAAAACTTATTTTCATCAAATAGAGTTGATGATAAAAGTTTAAAGTAAAATTTATAAAAAAATATTAATATTAAATAATGATAAAAATATTGTTATAATATATTTTAAAATTTAAATATAGAAATAATAACAGTAATTAATTCAAATTATTTGTTATAATTTTATATCTTTGATATAATAGTTGTATTTTAAAAAATATTATTTTAAATTATAAGAATTAAGGTTAAGAACAAAATTATTTGTTATAAAATGTAATCATAAATTTTTTTTTTCTGAAATATTAGTTCTAAATTTTGGTAAGATATAAAAAAATATAAATTGTAAAATATATTAAAGTCTAACAAGTTATGACACAAAGTAATATTTCTGTGCATAATATTGATTTAAATGAAAAATAAACTTTCAGTTTTACAAAGTAAATTAAAAATATTAAATCAGTTACAAAAATATAGTAAATAAAAAAGACTAGTTTAATATAATATAAATTCAATTTTTTTAAAACTCTGATTCATATTTTTGATAAAGAAATATCTGATCAACGATATAACAAGAATAATTTTGAATCATATTAAGAGATTCTTTAGTTCAGAAGTAACGTCACTCAATCATTTTCAAATTAATTATAATTTTTTCTGTTTGTGAGAATCCCATCAGAGCGCCTTTTATTTTTAGTAGGTTATGAAATAGATCAAAGAATTATTCTCAATGTGGTTAATAGTTAAAATGGTTATGTTGCCACTCGTTGAAGGTGGTTAGAAGTAAAATTTATAATTTAGCTCCTTAGTCTAATCTTTGTATAAATACTTGATTCTTTTCAATCAATAAGTGTAGAATAATTTTTTATATTCTTCTCTCTTCTCTCTCCTAAAAACAAAAATTGTATTCATTACTGTGAGGTGTGTTTGTAGAGAACTCATAAGTTCTAACGGTGGTATTAGAGCAAGGTTTGGAAAGGGATCTTTTCATTCAGTAATGGCTTCTAATGATCACTTCCCTACCAATCTTTCAATTTTTATCGTTAAGAACTACAGTCATTGGAGTGTTCAAATGAAGGCTTTGTTTAGTTTTCAAGATTTGATGAAAATTGTTGAAATAGGGATTGAACAACCACAAGAAAGCGCCTTTGATGCACAGAAGATAGGTTACAAAGACCTCAAGAAGAAAGACTACAAACTTTGGTGATCCTTCGCCAATGTGTTGATGATTCTCACTTTGAGAAGATTGCTGCTATGAGTTTCTGCAAAAGAAGCATGGGACATCTTGAATAAAGCTTCTGTAGGAGTTGAGAAGGTGAAGAAAGTGAAACTTCAGACCTTCAAAAGACAATTTGAACTACTGTAGATGGAAGGAGATGAGAGCATTGGAAACTAGTTTGGAAGATTGCAGATTCTTGTCAATTCCATGAAGAGTTGTGATGAGAAATTTACTAATCTGATGTTAATTGAGAAAATCCTGCGAATTTTGAATCCTAAATTCAATCATATTGTGGTTATAATTGAGGAATCAAAGGACCTTGAATCATTAATTGTTGATGAATTGCAAGGATCACTTGAGGCATATGAACAAAGACTACAAGAGAGATCGAATGATAAAACCTTTAGAACAAGCACTTCAGGCTCAGCATCATTCAATAAATGGTGCTTCTAACTCCAATAGAGGCAAGAGAGATAAAGGAAAGTCCAAGAATTCCAGAGGGAAAGGAAACTATTCTAAAGAAAATGTCAAGTTTCAGCGTGAGCAGAAAACTGGAGGTGGAAATAAGAAAAGAGGTGATTTCAGTTCCACACGAGGTAGAGGAGAGAAAAAAAAATAGGATAAAAGGAATGTTGAATGCTACAATTGTGGCAAGAAAGGTCACTGTGTTGAGGAATCTTGGCACAAAGACAAGGATCTTGACGATGAGGCACGATTTGTTGCAGAAGCTAATTCTAATTCTGAACTAGTTTTGTTGATGGTCACCACAAAAATTGAAAATGAAACTAAAGATCACTGGTACCTTAATACAGGATGTTCTACACATATGACTGGTCATAAAGACTGGTTCCTCAGTCTTGATGAGACTGTGAGAAACAAGGTCAGGTTTACTGATGATAGCACCTTGAGTGCAAAAGGCATTGGCAAAATATTGATCTAAAGGAAGGAAGTTAAAGAGTCCTACATTAACGATGTGCTTTATGTCCCTAAAATGAGGTGCAATCTTCTAAGTCTTGGCCAATTACTTAAGAAAGGATATCAGATGATCGTAGAGGATAAAGTGTTGAAGGTATATGACAAAAAGAAACGACTGATACTGAAAGCCCCATTATCTAGAAATAGAACCTTCAAGGTTGGTGTGCATAACTGCTTGAGTGCTGCTACCAGTAATGTTGAATGGCTATGGCACTACAGGTTTGGTCACCTGAACTTCAAGGATCTGAGCCAGATGCATGAATTAGCAAAGGGAATTCCTAAATTAAAGACTGCATGAGAGAAATGTAAAGAGTGCCTGGAATGCAAGCAACCTTGAAGCATCTTTAAGAAGTTTATTCTTGTGAAGTTCAAAAAGAAGCTTGAAGTCATCTATTCTAATGTGTGTGGCTCTCTTCAGGTTGAATCACTTAGAGGAAGCATGTATTTTATGTCATTTATTGGTGATTTGACTAGGACAATATAGATTTATATGATTAAGAGGAAGAGTGATGTCTTTAGTGTTTTCAAAAAGTTTAAAGCCTTTGTTGAAAAACATAGTGGTAATCATATAAAAACTTTGAGAATTGATGGTGGTGGTAAATACACCTCCAAAGAATTCCTTGAGTTTTGTGATGAGGCAAGAATCACTCATGAATTCACACCACCATACACTCCACAACATAATGGTGCTGCAGAATGAAGAAACAGAAATATTATGAACATGGTGAGAAGCATATTGAAAAGTATGAAACTGTCACACTGCCTGTGGAGTGAAGTTGCTGCAACAACAATTTATGTCCTTAGCAGATGTCCTACAAAGAGGTTGAAAGGAATCACACTTGAAGAAGCATAGTCAAATGTCAAACCTAGTGTGAGTCATTTCAAAATTTTTTGTTCACTGTGCTACATGCATATCCCTGATCAATTGAGGCAGAAGCTAGATGATAAAGCTGAGCAAATGATCTTTCTCGGCTATCATGCAATTGGCGGCTACAGATTGCTTGATTCAAGGACTAATCAAGTTGTAATTAGTAAGGATGTTATATTTGATGAACTGAAAAGCTAGGAGTGGAAGGAAGACTCAGTGAATGAAATGGTTAGAATACTAGTTGATTCAGGCAGTGTTGAAGCCAATGAAGAAATGACTAGCACTGATGCTAATGTTGATGTAAGAAGGTCTCATAGGGCCAGACAACCTTCACAGACCTTGAGAGATTATGAGGTTTACATTGATGATCAGATCACAGATGAAGGTGATCTAGTACACCTAGCCTTGTATGCAGATACTGAACCAATGAGCCTTAATGAAGCAATGAAGGATCCAAAATGGATTTTTGCTATGAAAGAAGAAATGAACTCCATTGAAAAGAATCACACCTATGATCTGGTGACATTACTACAAAGGAAGAGACCTATTGTAGTAAAGTGGGTCTACAAAGTGAAGAGAAGTCCAAGTGGTGAAGTGATCAAACACAAAGCCAGATTGGTTGCGAAGGGCTTATTATAAAAAGGAAGGTGTTGATTATGGTGAAATTGTTGCTCCAGTAGCAAGGATTGAGACAGTAAGGTCTGTAGTAGCCATTGCAAGCCTTAAAAATTGGTCTATGCATTAGCTTGATGTGAAGTCTGCATTCTTAGATGGACACTTTGAAGAAGAAGTCTTTGTTGAACAACCTCTTAGATTTCAAATTGCTGGTCAAGAATGAAAGGTGTACAAGTTAAGAAAAGCCTTGTATGACTTGAAACAAGCTTCAAGAGTTTGGAATAAGAAAATTAATAGTTTTCTCATTCAGATTGGTTTTGTGAAGTGCATTTATGAACATGGAGTCTATGTCAAAGGAAAATATGAGTTAGACTTGTTGATCCTGTGCCTCTCTATGTTGATGACTTACTGATCACAAGAAGCAACAAGTTTGAGATTGACAAGATTAAGCAGTTACTAATGAAGCAATTCGAGATGACTGGTGTAGGTCCTTTATCTTATTTCCTTGGAATTGAATTCAAAGAAACTAAAATTGGAATCCTTATGCATCAAAGCAAATATGCAACAAATCTTCTGAAAAGGTTCAATATGGTAGAATGTAATGCAACAACCACACCTATAGAGATGGCAATGAGCTTGAAAGATGAAGGAGAACTTGTTGATACTACACTTTACAAACAGATTGTTGGTTCACTGAGGTATTTATGCAATACAATACCTGATTTAGCTTTCAATGTTGGCCTTATCAACAGATTTATGCAAGCTCCAAAGACCTCTCATATGATGACTGCAAAGAGGATAATGAGATACATTAAAGGAACCATAAACTATGGTGTCTTGCTCTCCAACGATAGTACCAAAACAAATGCAAAACTGTTTGGCTATACTGATTCAGACAGGAGAAGAGATAATGATGATAGGAAAAGTACTTTTGGGTACATCTTCTTGTGTGGTGAAGCACCAATCAATTGGTGCTCAAAGAAGGAAGACCCTGTGGCCTTATCTACCTATGAAGCAGAATACATAGCTGACTCAATGTGCTCTTGTCAAGGATTGTGGTTTGGAAAGCTTCTCAAAGAGATGAAGATACAATAATCAAGGCTAGTAAATATGTTTGTGGATAATAATTCTACAGTTAGCTTGGCTAAGCATCTAGTTGATGATCAAAACAACAAGCACATTGAGACTAGGTATCATTTTATCAGGTTAAAAGAAAACCTTGCAGATATACTAACCAAACCTTTGAAGAAAAACAGATTTAAAGAATTGAGGAACAAGTTAACGATTGAAGTTAAATGAAATCAGAATTACAGGAGAGTGTTAGTTATAATTCTGATTTAGTTAATTAATTAGAATGATTAGCAGTTAAAATGGTTATGTTGCCATTAGTCGAAGGTGATTAGAAATAAAATTTATATATATACTTATTCTTTTCAATCAATAAGTGTAAAATCGTTTTTCATTTTCGCCTTTCTTCTGTCCCACAAAAACATAGACTGTATTCATAAGGTATAAGGTGTATTTGCAGAGAACTCATAAATTCTAATACATAATTATTACTAAAATTTATAAAATTTAAAAATATTTTTATTATTTATAATAAATATTTTATTATATAAAATAAAATTAAATCATATAGATAATATTTAAAAATAAAAAATTAATTATTAAAAATTTAAATATTTAATATTAAAAAGTCAAGCGATATGATGAAAAAATATTAATTTTTTAAAAATAATTTAAAAATATTATATATAAAAGTATATCAATGTTTTAAATACATTTGGTTTGGACATATGATAAAGTGCATTACATTCCTGAATTTACTGGTTGAGGGTTATTTATAAAATAAAACAGAAGAAAATTGGCTTTAATTTAAAATTGAAGAGGGCGTTTTTTAATTATGGAAATGGAGTTGGATCTTTTGCGGTTCCCTTCTCCAGCTGTCGTGGTCTCTACTGAAAAAACCCTGGCAGTCCCTCAAGTCACATGGATCAGTTCCGCGCCATCACTATCGATCATACAACAGAAGAAACTTCGAAACCCTAACTCAGTCATATTCTCAGAAACCGTTCAGAATGATTGATGGTAGTGATCATGCAGCAGCAACAGCAACAGCAACAGCAACTGCAACACCAGAATCCTTCTGCACTGGTGCCGCAACTCAACAATCCCCAACCCTCCTCCTCCGCCACCGCCACCGCCGCCACCCCTACTTCCCTTAGGTCACCCTCCGCCGCCGCCACCCCGTCCCAGCTCTCGTCGCCCATCTCCGCCGTTCCCCACCGCCAAGCCCTACTCTCCTCACTTCCCGTGTCAGTCGCGGCGGCTCTCCCTTCCGGAGAGCCTGTTTTGACGGCGGCGCCGACGAGTCCGTTGGTCAGAGTCCGGCTCTCGGACATTGCCCCCTATGACGGAGCACCCGCGGGGCCTTATCTCAGAGCAGTGGAAGCATTGTGTGGGTCTCTCTTGCGGCACAATGCTGCGCTGATCGAATTAGGGAGCGAAGATACTGCTCTGATGCGATGTAGCTTGGAGGGTGCAAGGTTGTTTTTCAGGAGTAGGGCCCACCTTGGTGTTGGGAAGGGTAGTCGTGGGGTTTACATGTATAGGGCAGGAAGGTATAATTCTCATACACTTATATAGTTAATGTGTTTGGAACTGCTTAAAATCACGAGGTTTAATGTGAAAGCTATAACCTGTAGCGTTAGAATGGTCCACCTTTGAGTGGATTTGACGCCAATCCAAATACACTCTTAGTTGTTGCTGTTATTTATTGGTTTGGAACTTTGGAGCATAGGATTGATTTTTCTGTGAAGATTATTATTTGAGATTAGTTTGGACTTTGAACTAACGCGGATGCTATTGTTATTTGTGGTTCACTTGTTTCAGGGCATTGGAGGATTGGGATTCTTCTCCCCCCTGCATGACTGATATTTTTAGGTGCATGGGAAAGGCGTCTCGTTCCGCCCTTTGTGCCATTGCAAGGCATTTGCGCCTTCGAAGCGAGTAAGGAATGAGGGTTATGAAGGAGGACCTCTCTGTTTAGTTTACCTGTCTTGTTGTGTGTTGTCTTGTCTGATTGTTTATTTCTTTGATTTTTTTTGTTAACTGTGTATGCTCACAGAAGAAAGGTGCCTTGTGCAGTGTCTTTAACCATTTGCTTGATGATGCTCCTTTGCCTGCTAATGAGGTGTCATCGTCAGTTCTTGTTGTAACCTACTCACATTCTTCTTTGCAAAATGGAAAAGGTGCCATTGGAGGCGGTAAGCCTACTATGAATGGTGAAGTTGAGAAGGGACTGTTGACATTGATATCTTCTGACACTCCTGGTCTTCAGGTGTCTTTTTTACTTATTTTATGTAAATTGTAAAAGTAGCGAGTTCAAGTGTTCTCAGTTTGTTGAAGAAAGGGCAATTAGCTATAGGTCCCATTAAATTCACTTGTGATGCTATTGTCTAATACTTATTTTGTAGCCTCCCGGGTATTTTGTTAGGTGACAGTTAAATCTTGGTGACTTGTCTATTGGTTTATCTTACTAGTTTTATGAATAATCTGTTTTCTTCTACAGGTATGTGATCCCAATGGTCGTTGGTATCTGGCAGACAGTGGGTCTGGGCCTGGAGATCTTTTACTGATAACAGGCAAGGCACTTAGCCATGCCACTGCAGGCCTACGTCCTGCTGCATCATATAGAGCTTCACCTGATTATTTTCTGAATCCTAATGGTGGAGGAAGGTACCAAATATATTTTCGGAAAAAAAATATCTTGTATTTGTGATGATTGATAAGATTCCAAGTTACTTATTTAGGTACCTTCTTGATCTTTCTGACTGTAGGACTTCTCTTGCATATAGACTCATGCCACAGGGCAATGCTATATTAGATTGTTCACCAATTGCAGCAGCTGGCCATGTTATTCCTCAAAATTATGTTCCAATATCTGTAAGCCAATTTATGGATGACCTTGCTGCTGAAGAACTGACAGGAAGCAGATGCGATAGTGCTGATGTAAGTTATCTCTCCTAATGTAATGTATGTTATGAAAGTCCTCCCTCACCAACCATGACCAGATAAACACAAAAGAAGACCCTAACCATAACAAATGGGAATGCAAAGAGGCACCTTTCAAGATACAGCATTCTCCTATACCCAAACCAAATACTTCAGAAGTTTGTAAAACTGCAAACTGCTGAAAATCTTGGCATCCATATTCTTGCCAACTGTAACTTTCCTGCTGCATAAGCCATAGGAGTTTCTCTGCAACAAAATTCACTGGGATTCTTTATAATGTATACTCTCCAAATGGCATGAATATTGTCATAGAGCAACTAATCAACTTTTTTGCATTTAAACTTCCATGTTGTGACTCACAATGTGGAATATTGAGGATCAGTGCATGAACCAGTTGATAATGACAATATTTGTGCTAGGTTTCTGCTGTGAAACTACAAATGAATTTAAGTTCTTGTGGTGGGAGGGAGGATGCTGTATACAAACTAATATTTAGAGCTTTGTAATCTGTCAATTGTCCCATACCAAGTGACTGATTGATCTTATAAACTAATTTGATTGTAGCTCTCTTGTTTCGCTCATTTATAAATATAAGTTTACGTATGTAGTATTTTTGCCTGTAAGCTTGTTGGCATTGGAGGATCTGGTTAGCCATTGAGGCCAGCTATTCAGAAGATCATAATGGTCTTTTTCTTGTTTCCCTGTCATTATAACAGTTCTTATATATGTAACGGCTCTTCTTGTAAAACTCCCAGTACAATTTCCCTTTGTGAAATTTTTTTCTTTGTTGTACAAGGAAACTTATATCTGTTTTATTCACAGGTCGCCATTCAAAACAATGTGAATAAGGAGCCATCGTTGAGAAGTGTTCTATCAGATCCTTTGTCGTAAGTGTAGTTGCTGCTATTAATATTATACATATCTCCAGACTCTACTGATTGTACCAAATGATGGTTTGTGGCATTCCTCTGGAGCCAGAGTTAAATTGTCAGATACATGATAGTATTGATCTCCATGAATACAATTTACAATTTAATATTCAGAAGAGAAAGGATTCCTGAACATCTGTGTTTTCTGATGTTGCATAATGAAGTTATAGATAACGTTGTTAAGGGAAACTCATCAATTGGAAGTTTTCTTGGGGTTTCAAGGCACTTAGTTAAAGTAAACAATATAGTTAAGATCTTTTAATGTCTACATGCAAGTTTGGCAATTTTTTTAGTAATTTCTTTTTACATGTATAGCTTTTCTTTTTTACTTGCATCTGGACTCATTTTGTGCCTTTTTCATTTATATTATCATAAAAGAAAAATATGCTTTTAAGGACATACTGTGGTTTAATTTTATTCTGATATCTATTCCTGTTTCAATTTATTCACCAGTGGTACATTCCTTGAAGATGCCATGCTTGTCTCATGTGGACATTCTTTTGGAGGTCTCATGCTGAGGAGAGTCATTGAAACGGTAAGTGGGGCTTTTTCCTATTTCAGTCTTCTAAAACATATATAGGTTACATCTCTGCATCTAGAAATTAAAGCCCATTGCCAATGAAAGTGACATTTTTTGCATTTGAACCATAGGCAGACATAGTCTGACATACTAGAGTTCAAGGATTATATCTGTGTCTGTCTGTGCAAGAAATCTATACACATTAGAGGGTTCATGATAATATAATGCTTTTATTTGGGGTAATGAAAGATTGGTGTAAAATTAGATCAGTTGGGCTGTGTACAATATTTTGAACAGTAGTTATGCCTTCAATGTATTGAAGGCAAGCAATAGCAAATACTTGGTCTTGAAAATTTATGAAATCTTGTGCTGTTGTGGAAATTATGGTGTGAGGCCTGATAATGTTGTAGAACCATGGATAAGATTTGTTGGTTGCCACAGTTACATACCGCGAAATAAGGATGTTACCCAAATTTCCCAAGTTAAACAGCTAAAATATTACATTGGCCTTCCAGATGGTTACATTTAATTTCTATAACAAAAGGTTAACAACTTTAAGATAGTTAATGCCTTGAATCTTACAACTAAACCCAGTATTAAATTGTACCATATTTTTGTTTTCTGTGTATTTAAACTTGTACTTTCTTGGTCTTTGTACCCTTCATGATCTGTATTCTTATTTTGGTTGTATTTGTGTTGTCTCATTTCTGTTACTTTCTACTTCCATTATGGAATTAGACTGTTTGATGGAGACAAGAATCATACTTACAATTGTTGTTTCTGCCACAGTCAAGATGTACTCTTTGCAATGCAGAAATTGAGACCGGCTCTTTGATCCCTAATCTTGGTATCTTTCATTTCCTTTGTAGTTTTACACTGTTTCAGCCATCTACACACACAAATACATAGATTATGTAGCCTCATTTCTGGTTGTTGTGTCTTTCTGATTCATTGGTTCCTTGTTATTTATTTTGTGACATGGATTGATTTGAGTTTCCTTTCAGCTCTTAGAGCTGCAGCTGCTGCTGTCAAGCATGAGGACGATCGAAGGTTATTTCGTAATGCTGCTCTCCGAAAGCGACGGAAAGAAATGGGGGACCAAATGGATTCAATGAGAAGAGTGAACAGGGTATATAACTTAGATAGCCTGTCTTCTTTTTTTTTTTTTTCAATCAGAATATTGTGGTGGGAAAATTTTTTCTCTTTAAATCAACAATTAACAAATGTACAGGGGCTATTTTTAATCTTTGATTACTTAAGCAATAAGGCGATGGCATGATCTCCAAGGTTGCCTGCGTATACTATACTATGATTTACCTAGAATGTTCCTGAAATGGACTTAGTCCAGCTTCTTTTATGAGATGGCTGTTTTCCTAAGATTACTTAAACCATGATAAGGAGATAGCATGACATTTAAGGTTGACTGTGAATAGAATGATTTATCCAGAATGTTCCAGAAGTTTACTTCACAAAAAAGCTACCCAGCTTTTGTTAGTTCCACTTCATAAAATAAAAACCTGTAATCTTGTTTTTGTTTAGAAATTCTAGATTTGAGATACAAATGTTATTATACTTTTGACTTGAAATTTAATAGTAGGGATTGGATAGTGCAATCTTTGTGTATGTATTGCTATTGCGTATTTGCATATCCTACATTCCTGTTGATGGCAAAAGTTTGTAATCAGATTCCCTGCGGTCAGAGAGAGAATGCAAGAAGAGTCTCTTCTGCATATTTTATTTTTCATACCTTAAAAGCTCATAAAATACAAGCCTACAAATTTGGGTTATTGGATTAGAAATGTAGAGCCCTGCACTATATAGCCAACTGGAGGGAATCCTGCTCCTTAAATTTTTCATAATATGCCTTGAAGTTGTCCACAGCATCAGTATCAATATATAGTAATACAGAATAATACATTATTTTGTAAATGATAATACTGGTCATTCCTATTTTCTTGTAAAGGAGTAGTTTCTCTCTTAGTTGACCTTCCATGTGTGGGAGGGGCAGGTGGGGGTGAAATGTATTTGCATGTATCTTCAGTTAAACACTTCTCCAATAATAGCGTTAAGTTGTACTAATAAGTTACTGCTACCATAGTGCCTCCTAGATTTTAAAATATATTATTATAACTGACTTCCACAAACCCACCAAACAAATTGATCTCCGTCCTCAGTGTATGTGTAGATTTTGAAGAGATTGACCATGCATGTGAAGCAAACCAGGAGTGTTGTGCATGAGCATGAATTATTATGCATTCTGACTATAAACCAGATGTTCAAGACTATACGGAATTAATTTTCTGGAGTGAAATTTATGTATATTGGCACTTAATTGTTTTAGGAAAATGGAGATTTTACTGCTGTTGATGGACTCCAGCGGGGTGTACAATATCCATTTTCAGTAAATGAGAGAGTCATTATTAAGGTAAACAATTTTGGTTTTGTTTTCAATTTTTGGCCATTACTGTATCAGATGGTCAGCAGTTATGGACAACCAATTTCTACAGGGTAACAGGAGGACCCCAGAAAAATTTGTTGGGAAAGAAGCTGTGATTACGTCTCAGTGTCTCAATGGCTGGTAAGTTATCAAAAAAGAACTTGTTTACATTTTTATTTAGGTTCTTGATATAGTTTTGAATTACTACCTTTTATGTGAAAACATTAAATGTTAAAAATCAGTTTGCAAGCACATTACATAATTAATTAGTCAACTTTTATGGCGTAGTGAAGCTTCCCATTTAGATGTGCAAGGGAATAGAGGTTTTCTGCGTGCTTGGTATCACTTTATCTTTGTAACACGGTACATTTATATGTATTCTCAACTTTTCAGAATTTTCTTTTACTCCGGTTTGGCCTGTAACTTTAAAAGGCCAAACCTGAGTTGAATCATTCGGTCTAGTTTCAACATTTGATGTCTGTGGGTGGGGGATTTGATAGTTCATAATGGTTTTTATATTCTTACACACCTACACGCTTAATTTATAACATGTATCGTATCATATTTTTATGTATTTGCAGTACAACTGTATGCAGGGAATCTGATTTGACTTGTCCTAAGTGAAAGTGAAAGTGAAAATCTCATTGATGTCAAACTTCTGTACAGGTATTTGCTCAAGATTATTGGAACTGGAGAGAATGTCCGCCTGCAGTACCGTTCTCTTAGAAAGCCCTTAAACTCACCAGCTATAGAGGACCAGTGCCCCTCACAGCCAATTCAAAATAGCAGCTCTTAAAATAGATTCATTATAGGTTTTCCTTCTTCCATTTTTCTTCGATGTGAAAAAAGGAAACTTTTGATCCTTCGAAGTAAAGAATTAACTGTCCTAGTCTTGATATTTGATTGTAAAGAATTAAGTTGACTGGTCGGGCTCCTTACAGCACGGGATAGAGGTTTATGTAACTTGTTTATCAACGAGGTTATTCGTGTAGATGCTAATGCTAGGTCGGCTTATAATCATTGTAAAGAAAGCAGGCAAAGAAAAATTAGATAGCATGTAAATTGTAGCTTGCAATTAGTGAATTGGATCACATATTTCGTTTGTTTTTCTTTTTGCCATAATTCAGTTTTTGTAGAATGTGTTGCTTCTGCCCTCTTACGATTTCATATTTGTAAACTTGAAGCTGTAAATGCCAAATACTGTCTTGATGAGAATACAGAACAGAGAACAGCTGCCTTCGTCCTTGTGTTGATGTACACTGCAAATTTATCACCAAAGACAGTTATTTTATTTTTCGTGAACAAAGGAGCCGAATCCCTGGTAAGCAAATTATACTACTGCTTTGTTTTGTTTAAGTGTAATACAAGAGAGAGTTATGAAAGAAAGAAATAAGCAAGAAAAGCTGAAATTTCATTGTTAGTAGGATAAAAGTGAATGGGAAAGAAATAAGTGGGGGAATTTACTATTTCTTATTGTCTTGTCTTGTGTGCAGAGAAAGGAGGAAAGAGAAATATTTTATGCATCTTTCCTAAAATACTTTAAATCTAAGCTAAATATGTTTTAACTACCTCTAAATAGGGTTTATTTCAAATTATTACTCATTAAATTTTTTTATTTTAATACTTAACTAATTTTTTTTTTAATTTTGTACTTGACTTTAGCTTTTGTTAGTTAAAGGATGACATGATTCAAAGTTTGTCATATCACCTTCAATTTATCTCTTTCACCTTACTTTTAAATTTTCACATACGAATTCATATAAAAAAATAAAACATAACTTATACGATGCGTTTTGGGGAATGAAAGAGAGGGCCAAATCAAGAACCCTATTTCAAGAAGAAGAACACTAAGGAGAAAAATATGTTGAAGGCAAATATAAAGGGAAGAAGAAGAATCATTAAAGGAAGAAGGATGTTAGGGTTCTTTTTTTGTTGGTTGTCATTATCCATCTTGGTCTTCTTTTCTGTTCTTTGTCTTTACGAAATGAGTAGTGTGGGTGGTCCTCGTGCTCATCTTCTGCAATGTTGTTGTAACTTGCAAATTTAAGAAGCTCGCTATAATTTTTACCTCACAGAGCAAGAAAAATCTTGGTAGAAGGTTTTGGAAATGCTTTGGTTGGAATGCAAGTTCAACTGATTGTATTTGGGAATGAATTTGTGTTTATGTGTTTACAAATTTATTTGTATTTAGTTTGCAGGAATCTAATTCTTATAATTATTTTCATTAGATTATAGAACTTATAGATTGGGACAATGAGTCTATTATCTCGAGACAAATTCGCACAATTCAAGAGTTGAAGGCAAAGATCAGTAATTTAATAGAAGTTGAAAAAGTAACTGAGGAGAAAATGGTAAAAAGTAAAGAAGAGATGACGAGACTTTAGGAAGAATGATATGATCTCCATTGACAACTTGCATTATTAAAGTTTAAAATATCCCACAAGAAGATTGTTATTGAGAGGAATAGGGTGAAGATTTTAGGATGTTTAGTGATTGTACTTTGATTTTTCATTACCATTGTGAGCATTGTAGTAGTAATGAATATTGTTGGTAACAAAGTTTTAAAGGCTGACAGTTTGTAATTCAATGTAATGAAAGTTATTTTAAATATGGTTGAATGAATTCAATGACAGAAGAATTGATGCTCATGACTTTGTTCACTCTGTCATGATCTTTATTAACAACTTGCGTTATTCACTCGGTTGAATTTGATTGTATTCACTGTAAAAATTGATTATGATTTGACATAACAATTGATAACTGAATGTACAAGTTTGATTAGTTATCAACTACCTCCATACTTTTATTATTTCAGAACAAAACATGTATTTTTAAACTGTTTAAGGTTTACTACCTCCATAAATAAACATTTTCATATTACTATCTTCGATATATAACTGAACGTAAATTACTGTTTAATATTTTATATTTTTTTAGTATCTCTAAAAACTTGCATTATACAAATTTACTAATTCACTACCTAGTTTTGTTATAAGTAACAAATTAGAAATGTGTGAAAAATAAGACTTAAACATACAAAACATGGGTCCTAAAAGATGCAAATGCATGCTGCACATTGTTTATATTTAATTGTCATCAAAAGGTACACCTTGTGGTTCATAAAAGATTTTCATTCACATGCTTCATAATTAAAATAAAGACATTGTTGTTGCACATTGTTTAAAATATTTAGCAGTAACATTACTCCCAATACAAAATAACTCTAAACACTATTCTCCTCAGAAATGGTTGCTAAAAAACACTGTTCCTTTTCAATTCACATCATTTGTCCGTCTCCCTTATCTGCCCCTGCTACTGCACTTGCCTCCCAACTTCGTTGACTTGGTTGAGTTAATAAAGGTGATGAAGTTGGCCCTTCATTAGCTGCTCATTTTGCTACAGCAATGTCTTCATTGAGATCTGCAGTAGTTGATCTTTCTTTTGGTTGATCACTTGGTTGACTTGTTTGCTTCTGTCTTGTGGTTGGTCCCTTTGGTAGTCTTCTTAACACCATTTTTGCTTGTAAACGTAAATCATTAGCAATTTTACTAAAGTCATGAAATGACGAGGCTAATACATATACCTTTTTCTGGACTGGTAAAAATTGTTGTGCCCCCACTGCTTCAGGTGGATTAGGTGCTGAGCTTTCAACATTTGCCTCAAGTTGACCTTCAGCTGTTTCAGTGGCTGTTGGTTGTGGTGGCGCTGGCTGTTGACAAGTTCTTGTGTTATGGCGTTGTACACCATGTAACGCCCCCAAATGTGAGTGTGGACTTGTGATTTGGCTGAAACTGATTGAGGAATAGGCTAAGTGTGTGTTGTAGGGGCGTTCTCGCTGTAGCGAGAAGGCCTTGGGCAAAAGGCGTCCATTTATTGCGTTCTCACTATAGCGAGAGGCTCCTCGCTGCAGTGAGAAGGGAGCATAAAAGGTGTAGTCTCACTGTAGCGAGAGGGTCTCGCTATAGCAAGATTGTGCAGAAATCAGAGTGCAGATTCATCTGAGCTTTTACTGTAGCAAGAAGAGGTCTCGCTGCAGTGAGAAATGTCTTACTGCAGTGAGAGATACCTCGCTGCAAAAAGAAAAGTCTCGTTGTAGCGAGAGTGTCGCGAATCCTAGGGTATTTAAGGGGTTTAGCGTTCGAAAAATTCATTTCCCACCCTTCCTCTCGTCTCTTCTTCAATTCTCTCGACCCTCAACCCTTCTTCACCGATTAAATCGCCTCCAAAGCCGTTTAGGTGCAAGATTGAAGGTTAAAATCGTGTTTGGAATGCTTGGAGGTGAGTTTTATGGGTTAAGATTTCGGTTTTCATCCCTTTTTTCCATTTTCTCAGTTTCTCATGGAGTTTTTCATGTGTTTAGGACAAAAATTCGTGTAGGAAGCACTTCCATTGTCATTTTGTGTTGTGGGTCTTCATTTCGGGGTAAGGGAGACTCTACCCTATCTCCTTGTGCTTAGAATTCATTTGTATTGCTATGTATTAGAATATGATTGAGATAGAATGTAGAAAGATGTGTATTTGGATGAAAATGACTTTATTTGCAATATAATGGTGATGGAATGTGTGTGTTTGAGTATAATGTGGTTGATATGTATGGATATGTCATTGGGTGAGAATGAATACCATGATACAATTGAAAATATGGGTGAATATGTGTGAATGACATGTGATCTTGATTACGGTTATGTTTGAAATATTGGAAACTATGAATGGTTACAGCGATATACTGGGGATGTGGAAGATGGGGGCAGTAGAAATACCTTGGGGAAGAGAGCGTGGTGGTGACGCCAACAGTGAGCATGAGTGCACCACAAGTCATATACTCTCCTCCTGACTCGGTCTCTGACTAACACATTTGCTAAAGGGCCCTTGACCGCACACGTATCCGTAAGGCAGGGGCTAACCGGCGACTATCCATGGTATGAAACTAAGTTAGTCCCTGAGGTTGAGGACATCAAGAAATTTTAATCACAGTACCACATTGAGCGTGGCTACGTGCAGCGAGCGCACGTGTGTGTGAATTGTTTGACAGTGCAATAAGCGTACCTGTATGTGAATTTGAATGGAATGTTGAAATGTATTACTTCGTGTTTATTGATGCATGATTTGAATTATGTTAGTAAATGTGTGAAACGTGCAATGTGAGATGGAACTGCTATAGGACTTAGAAAACTATTTTTTTAAAAAAATTGTGATATATTTAAATAGGTCCTGTAACATTTGTTTTGTCTCAAACTTGTAACCCTCCTTATTTTAGAAATACTTTACTAAATCATGCATTTGGAACTATTTAAATGAAATTTTTATTATTCCCATTTTATTGCTAAATTAATTTATTAGAAAATTAAATTAAGGTGTTACACACCACATCTTTTATACTTATACTTACAAGATCTTTTGTCAATCTTGTCATATTTGAATTTATCTCATTAGGTTTCCTTCTACTCAATTTTTTAGGTCTTCGGACCCTTTTTATTTTTAGGGAGGTAGGATCTCATTAAACTCAGTTTCAGGTCACATGTCCTACCTATTGGTGGTTAAAATTTTATGTCTATAACATATCACATAAGTATCCTGAGAATAATAATTATTAACATAGTTCATGAAGTCTAATTATAGGGCAGCCACAACATGCCTGTATGGAATGCCTTCTAAATCCCAGAAATTATAATTACAATAGTTTCTACAGATGTCTATTATAAGTTTATCACTAAAATGTAAATGACTCACTTCAAAGTCTTCATCCCCTTCCTAACTTGTTACCTAATTCCTTGACTTTTCAACCTCTCAATCTATTCGTTTTAAAGGCTTAGGCATAATTTGTCCTTTGTAGCCTTTAACTTTGTCCCTAAGGTTAGAAAACCTATTCATCAAATACATCCTTATCCACTCAAATATTGTGAGAATTGATTTATCCTTAGCAATTAGAATTGTGCTATTAAATGCTTCACTAAGATTATTCATTAATAAATCACATTTTTGGTAACATGAAAATTTATGCTTACACCATGTTTTCCTGTCTAGATTAAATGGCCACCAGTATGCAGCCTCATTTAATCTAATCTATTGCATATAAGCCCTCCAAAGTTGTTCATATGTTGCTTTGGCAGCACCCATCATGAGGTCTCTTAGTTGGACTCCTCCTTCAAACTTCTTCTTAAAATTGTTGTATAAGTGCCTCAAATAGAATCTATGTTCAACAAGTACAGAAAATTCTTCAAAAACTTGTGTCAAGCCTTGTCAAAAATTTCAATTAAGTCAGCACAAAATTCTAAGGTATTAATATGAAAATGAGTTAACTTAGAGGTAGTAAAAACAAACACCTTTACCTTTTGTTGGTCACTCATAAAGACCCCCTTGTTGGCTTCAATAGAACCAATATTTTCTAAGAGCAAATTCAAAAACCATCTCCACGTCTCCTTTGACTCAATCTCCACAATAGCAAAAGCCAAGAGAAGGTATTGATCATTTGGGTCTCCAATAGCAATCAATAGCTGAGCTCCAAATTTATTTTTTATGTGACATCCATCCACCCCTATCAATAGGCGATAAACCTTTTTAAAAACTTATTTTGGACCTTTAAGACACATGTAGAAACTCCCAAACCTTGGCAAAATCTCCAAAGATGGCCTAAATACTCTAATCACACAAGTATTGGCTACACTTCTTTGTTTAAGTTCAGCTGCATATCTCCAAAGTAGTCCATATTGTTTGTCAAAGTCACTATCAATCATACTTTTAGCAATCTGTTTAGTCCTAAATGCTCTTGACAATGTTATCCTAGTGGAATAATTAGATTGAATTTATCCAACAATATCCTTTAATGCAATGTTAGTATTTGTGGCCTTCATCTTGTTAATCAAAATCTTAGCAACCCAAGATGATTCCGCACTCTTATTATGGATGTGTGTTTATCAGTCAGAGTGTTCAACCTGTAAGTCTCTGAATTGCTGACCTTACTAACATACACATAGTATTCAACACAATACCTACATCTTGCCCTTGCCCTCCTCTTACCATTTTAATCAAATCTGATTTCTTTTCCATTCAACACATTATACTCTTGAATTGCGTCCTTCAACTCTTTAATGGAACCAAACTCCAAACCTAACTTCCATTTGAAATCTTTATTCAAATCATCACCATTAAATTTGGAATATTTCCTCCTATAAGCATATAGGTACTTTCTCAAGCTCATGAACACTATAAGCAACATATTCCTCCTCAACTTTAACATCTTCATTCACTTTCTTTGCAACTAACTTCTTCCTACTGCATTTTACTCGCCCAAATTCTACGACGTGTTTATCAAATCCATCATCTATGTCATCAATTCTATCCTCCTCATTATCATCTAAATGAACTTCTTTTAGAAATTTCTCCTCACTACTGGCAAAATTGTCTCCAACAACACCCTTGTATCCTACTTCACAAACAACATACATTTTAACCTCAACACTGTTAGACATGGCAAAGTTAGCCATGTCTAGGGCTACACTGTCACAGTTGATTTCCTTGAAGTCACAAGGATCATGTTTCCACCATATCCTCACTGGATGCTCTCTGTAACCTAAGTCTTCTTTTACAATCCTAAGTGCTTCAAAGTACGATCACCTGTCCATATCAATGTTCTTCACATGAATTGCCTCTTTGCCCCCAACATAGAGCATCACAGGGTCCAACTCAAAATGACCCCCATGATGAATAATAGCATTGAAAATCATCTATATACAAAAATGAACAAATATTCGTGTCAGGTAAAGCAAAATTAACGAAAGTAAAGCCTAACCGTCAATAATCAAATCGAATAACACTTACTTTCAACAATGTCCAAAACAGTGCTTCATATTACTCTTCGCTCAACACTAGGTGCTTTCCAGAATAGCAAAAGGCCTTGCCTATTTATGGCAACAAAACGTCACCTCTGGTAACACTTCTCCTCCACAAACAACCAATCACCAACAACGGTGCTTGGGAAACAAGGAACAAACAATAACGCGAATGTTTGTTTCCAAAACGAAAAAGAATGAAGATGAAGATAAGAAACAAAGTTGAATTTCAGATAAAAGATTCAACAATTTTTGTTTTGTATTTTAAAAATTTTCACTTGAAAATAAAGATTGAAGAACTGTCCATTTATGATTTCAACATTACAATCTTAATTTTTTTTTATTTTTAAAAAATAAAATATTGATGTAAATTCATAACGTAAAAATTAAAGAATGAAGTAAAAGAGAGAGATTGAAGATGATGTGGCAAACTGTAAAGCACATCACCATTTAACTGATAAAAGTTAACGTTGGATATAAAATTAAAATAAATTAGTTAAGCATTAAATTAAAATCTATTTAAAGGTAGTTAAAACATATTTAAGCCATAAATCTATTTATAAATATATATTTTTTAGGGGCATAATTCTTTACTTAATTTTTTCAAGTTCACTTTGCATCAATTAAATATACTTAACTTTCTCTCACGACTCTCTTTTTAACTAGATATTTTTATTTTGTTTTCTTTCTCTAATTAAAATAAAACTAAATATATTTTGAGGAATTAAATATATAATAAATATGAATCTTTAATGGAATTTGGGTCATACTGTGCACATATGAATATAAGGAAATTTCTCTCATCTTTCAAGTAATTATCTGTCCGAGCAGTTACATCATCAATTGGCGATATTCGCACACTTACTGGCAAAAGGAATCATATTACCCTCATGTTTCAAGTAATTCTCTCAAGGAGAGGGCACAAACATAGAATAACAACACAGCTATTAATATTAGTACTCTAAATTGAAGAGAAGTTTGTTAGAAATTTATCGTGGATGCTTTTCTTATATTAACTCATTTTACATCAATACTGTGATGAAAGAAAAAGAAAATATAAGGGAAGAACCAAAAATATATTTGCCTGGGCCTGATGTGAACAGAAACGTAAGAAAAACTTTTGGAGATGTTGCGTTCCAAGTATAGTAAGTTCCAAACTAACGAAATTTACAAAAAAGTGATGGTCCTGCTGGCTACGGATTCTTCTTTCATTGAAATATGGAATCTAGTGAATGACTTGAGATTGATTTCAACTCAGCAATGCATTCTATTTGTAGATCCATTCGTTTGCACGAGCACCAGACTCATCCATATCAATAAAAATGCTCACTGCCTGCAGCAAATAACAATAAATTACAAAAAATGTTCACAGACATTTGTTTTTTTCTTGGCAACCACAGCTTACTGAATCTAGATATGATTTTTTCACACTATGTTTTAGAATTTAGATTATTGTCAGCATAAAGCATCAAAATCTATGTTCAAATTTACACCTTTTTGTACATTACAAATTGACCCAAGATCTCTAACCAGAATCTTTAGTATTTCCCCTCTGCAGAGTTTTTATTTCTTTATAACTCTTCTTGTTTCTTTAGAATACACTATCTCTAGTCTGAGTCTTGCAGCTCCTTTCGCTACACACTCCTTTTAACGTTAATGATATTACCCAAGAAAGAAACACTATGCAACTTAAGTTTGAATATTACAACCTAAATTGAATTGAAGCAAAGATCACGTCACCAAAGCTAAAAAACATGACCTAGATTATACACACGACAGAAGAGCATAGTTTTACCTTCCCTATCCGAGGTCGTTCTTTGGACTTTGCTAGGCTGTTTCGAATATGTGAGACAGCTCCCCAACATTTTAATGTGTTTGCAACATCATCAAGCCTCAAAATATACTCTTCTTCAGTCAACGGGAAGGATCTCTGATAGCAAAAAATATTGGACATACTGAAATAGGATCACACGGATAATCTCAACAGTACAAGCAATTCCATGGTGGTGCATAAACCTTTTAGTAATAATGTTACTTTACTTTAAACTACAACTAAATGCATGGTTTAGGTACCCAACTAGTCAACTACTTTTATACCAATGCGGTATGTGAAATGGTAGCAAAAGGACCTTTTTCTTCTGTTCTCTCTTTCTAAACTGATTGAAGTCATAAGCTACTTTCATTTTGATTAATGCAACATGGTCAGTTGTACGGGTGGTTGGTGGATAAGTGAAAATCTGGAGGACCATTCGTTTATGCAAGAAAGGGTCCATAACTATACCAACCCATTATGAGAAAAGTTCTCGCAAAAAATTGTAGTAAATCTACAATTTGGTACTTGAGATTGTTAGAGGTATTGTAATCCTTTAACAGTGTATGACTCTAAAAATTAAATCAATTGAGGGGAAAAAAAGATCAGGGACTATGGAAGACATTTCAAAATCTTAGGTACTAAGATGCTCGACGCTAATAATATAAAAAACTAAATTGAGGGTCTACTCCAAAAATTTGTCTAGTATTTTCCTTTCTTTTTCTTGACATCGAATAAATTTTACGTATTTCATTTGAATTGTATCTACTCAAGTCATGTATCTTATACAGAGAAAACAAATGACGAGGCAAAGAAGTTTTAATACCTGCTCCATGTACTTCCACATGACATTCAAAGCAAGAAGATTTCTTCCCATGAATTCCTGGCACATATCATGTAACGGTATGAGATCAAACTTCGTCTTAAATGTGCTAACTCAACAATTTATCCAATTTCAAAGAATCAAGCAAGCACACTCCAAGGAGATGGTATAATGCTCCAAGGCATTCGCAAGTAAAATTTTGGAGAAAAAAGAGAAAAAACATCATACCCATATGAAGTTCCAACTTCCAAGTTATATATATTCAAGGAAATGGATAATGCAGCAACATTCAAGAGCAAGGACGAAGGATGCCAAAAAATTCTAAAAATATGGGCCATAAACAATATTATTGGTGTAGCAAATAATTTCAACACCATAGTAGGCGTATTTTATTAGTTAACAAATGGAAAAACCTAATTTTTTTAATAACATAATGTAGGATATAATGATAACTTTCATCTCTTTACTATCCGGAATTTTTTCAACCACTAGCATGTTGGTGGAAGATGAAAATTGTGCGTGCACTGTTAATTTGATCACTATTTGCATGTCTATGAACAAGAGCATGTAAGTTTAAGTACTTCAAAGTATATGCTTCATCAACAAATGCAATATGGACAGAGTTGACAAGAAGATATATCAACTGAAGAACGAAATATTATTCAATGGCAATTGTATGCCAGAAGAAACAGTAATGTACAATTTCCAACGGAGTGCTGGATAACTCCCTCCATCTCTCAACAATCATAGTTTGGAAGAGTAAATCGTGACATTATATAGGCCAAATTCATCACACAAACTCAGGACAAGACGCAAGTAATTCCACTTGTTAAAAGCTTACCTTTTTTATCAACTGAACATCATAAGACCTCCCATATTTGTTCCTGATAAGAGTGGCAAGGTCAAATCCACTAAACGTGGAATCATCTGTACCAACTATTTTCTCGAGACTCTCCCTAAGCATTTCACTATTCACCTGAAGCATGTTTTAAAAAAAAAGAAAGACGCGAAGTAAGACGTATGCAATGCAATGGAAAGTTAATACACAATATATTATGCTAAGGACTCAGCCTGGATAAAATCCAGTTGGAAAATAACTGTACCTAAATGTAAATTTATCAAAACAATTTTGGTCAACAACAATTTTGGTCAACAACAATATTACATAAAGTAAACTAAAGAAAAGTAGAGTGAGAAATATAAGAACTACTATGTTAAAACAGTTGGCAATTTAAAAAAGGATAGAAAATAAGTATTGTTGGTTTTTAAAATATTTTAATATACTAAAACAAGGATTTCATATTCAACCGGTTCACTAGAGGAAGGGGAACAAATTTAGAGAATAGAATAAAGGAAAAACAAATATGCCCAGATGTTAGTTCGTTGACATACTTCTAAAAAGATTATAGAAATACATGGTGAGGCATGTTACAATGCAATGAATTAAATACACAATATGAAAGTAAGAAGTCAACATACTCCTCCCATTTCATCACTCTGAGGTTTATTCTTATCAATGTCATCTGAATCAGAAGGATTCATACTGTCACTCACTGAACTAGAAACAATAGGCCTGCATTTTCTGGCACTATGGCCACATTTATGAACAATGTATCCAACATTGAGGAAGTTCAATCCTCTGGAAGGAGAATAAATCCCTGAAACTGGAGCCTTATTAATACTTCCTTTGTCAGGATGATCCTGAATTCTCAGGGGCCAATTGCATTGGTGGGTAGACATAATGTTCATTGTAGCCAGCACTCACTGTCATTCAAAATGCAAGGAAAGTAGGAAACACTGTTAGAGGCCAATAAACAAATACTTGTTCTCAAACCAAGAAAGTCATTTTTTTTTTGTGTGGATAAAGATAAAAATGGGCATTTGAAAAGTAGGCCGTGGACATAACCAAGTAAATACAAAAGTTTATAAGACAAAAGGCCATATATAATATAGGGACAATTAGTTATTATTCAGGTCTTCTACAATTGTTCAAATTCAATATTGATTAACATATACACACGACTAACCATCCTACTCCATGCATGGAGAATATCAAAGAGATCATCCTATGCTTTTTCTCTGATTCTATTTCAAGACCATTTATAACAAGACAACCAAAGAAGAGAAAGAAAGAAAAAAATGGAAACTAAGTACGGAAATTTGTTTTGTTTCTGTCTTTCCTTCACGAGCCAATACTAAATTTCCAAGAGAAAATAACAGAACTCTTAAATAGGCCATAACTAAAGCAACTATAATTTAATAGAATGCCACGAACAAATAATTATGCTCCTTATAATCAAAATCACCCAGAAAGATCATTTTGCTAATTAGATGTTTTGTGTAGAAATAGAACAAAACTATATATAGAGCAAGCAAATCAGTGCAAGTGTGGCACAGAAACCAAGGTTAGTATAATAGAGGGCAAACCTGGTCCTATTACTAACACTATATGTGAAAGACGGAAGCAGAAAGCAATCACCCCTTCTGTTGAATTTGATGGTTCTTTATGCTTTTTTTTAAGGGGGGGAGTGAAGGGTCCAATGTTACTGTTAGCAGAAGCAAATCTTAATTTTATATTATCATTAATTGATGTACAACCATGAAATTTTATTGTAATGTAGTTATTTTGTGGATAACAAAGGTTGTTGTACAGTTAATGCAATAACAGCCTCACGTTGTGTTTGTAAGCAACGCCAACCACATGCTGCCATGTGCAAACCTTATGGTTGCTTACGTTTTCCTAAGTTCGCAAGGGAAAACGTTTGCTTCCTAATGTATTACTAACCACACACGTCTCCTTACTTCGCCGTAGGTAGGTGACAGCATCAGAAGCAACGTATGTACACACGCTTGCACGTGTAAGCTAAAACTCCAAGATATTTAAACACATCCTTTATTGATAAACACATTTTTTTTAATCATATTATAAGTGAGAGTATATCACAAAGTGATAGAGTTATGATAAATAAACAATTGATAGAATTGATATAAATAAATAATTATTGAGGTGTTGTAAATTTATATATTTGTAAAATTTCTACTTAATGTTTTTAAGATTGAATAGGTGATTGGATTGAATATTGACTTTCACTAGTATGTTGGTATGTGCTTGATTTAATTTAATATAAAGAAATGATAACCCATTTTTTAAGAATTTTTTTTAAAATTAAGCATTTTTAAATAATCATAAACATGTTTTGTTAATTTAGTATTTTTGTTTCTGAATTTAAGGTTTGTTATGATTTTGTTCTTTAATTTCTTTATTTAATTTAAACTTTTACCTTTTGTTTTTTGATTTAATCCTTTCACTGTAATAGTAGTATAAACTTTATTAGAATTTTACCGAATTTTTCTACAGAATGATGAATAGAATCTTCTTGACTCTTTTTTTCAATCACAAAACATATCAAAATTTTAAGTTAAAAATTCCACATTAAATGATGAAATAAAGTTTTAAGAAACTTAATCACCGCTACAGTGTATAGAATTCATGTTCAGGACAAAACCAATCATAGAATAACAATATAATTTGATATCTCATTTTAATTAATTAAATCATACAAAATTTAAATATATTCATTACAATTTGAAGTAGTGATTCAATCAATTAACTATTAAAAAATGGGGGGAAAAATAGTTCTTTCAAATCAAAGTTTTGTTGAGAACGAATTTGAATGTTCACCCATAGATATCTCACTTTAACGTAAAAAGTCATACAAATTTTTTGTATCTTGATCCCGACTTAATGTTTAAAAAACTTTTTAATTTTTAGCCAAAAAAAAACTTTTTAATTAATTTTAATAATGATTATAATTTTTTTAATGTGATCTTATTAAGATTTAATATTGTTACAATAAAAAACTAATGTGGTAAAAATAAAAATAAAAAAGTTAACTTGAATATTTAAAAGTTCGAATTTAAATTATCTTACAATACAAAAATACTTTATATAGAATAATACTTCTTTAAAAACTAAAATAGTTTATAGCAAAAAAAAAAACTAAAATAGTTAGCTTAAAATTTAATGTTAAACTATCCTTTATTTAGTTATATACAAACACAAAATAGTTTTTAATGTTTATAAACATGATTTTAGCATATTTATTTTTTATTCTTTATATGACATATCATACAAAAAATTTTCTTTAAATATTTAATACAACTTATATTTAAGACTTCAACTCAAAATCAATATTTAAATTAAAATAAACGTTACAATTAATCCGCCCACTTAATAATTATATATATTACTTTAGAATAACTACTAAGATGACTATAGAAAAAAAATTGAAGTAAATGAAGTAGTATTACATAGAAGAAAAAAAAATATAAACTTTAATTTTTATAACTGATCATACATAATTGAAAATAACTAATTTTTAATAAAAATAAAACATTTATTGTATAAAAGTATAATAAATAAATTTTTAATATTTTTTAATAAAAATTCTTAAAATCAACATCACAAAGGAGAACCTAACCACAGCGCGGGAAGAGGTGAGCGGAAAAGATGAGAAAGAGAACGATGGACTAAGAAAAGAAATGAATACGAAGCAGAGAGAGGAAATTGAAAGGTGGATCGCCGGAGATGAGAGCGGAGGAGAGATGCTGAGTAGGGTGAGCAGTGTGCGGCCTTTCTTACTTCCTCCACCGCTTCACAGAGTTCCTCTCCGCGTCGGCAACGTCCTTGAAGTTGTGGGTCCCTCTCCTTCTGCCAAAACCCACATTCTCATTCACACCGCAATCACTTCCATTCTTCCCAAACACTACGGTGGCTTCGACCATTTGGTTCTCTTTCTCGATCTCGATTGTCGCTTTGATATTATCCGCTTTTCCCAATTACTCATTCATCGCATTACGCAACACCGAGCCGGGGACGCTAGTGGAAGAGGTTATGATAAAACGTTGTATAATCTCTGCATGGCTCGTTTTTTGTATGCTCGTTGTTCCGATAGCTTTGAATTTCTTCACACTCTGAGGGTAAATGATTTGTTATTTTTGTATATATTTGTTCTACAATAGTGTTTTTGCACCACACTACTTGTACTTGGTTGTATTCTATTCCAATAAATTAGGACCTCTTTGTACAGTGCTAGCACTTAATTATACTCAGAAATTAGGGTTTCTCTCCCAAGTAAAATGATAAGCATTAATTTCTCATTAACTTCCTAATGGGAACTCACATGCTTAGTCTTATTAAACCTTGGTGGTTGGTGCTTTTTTTTTTTTATTGGTTCAAAATTTGTCATTGAGTTGATATTATAGTGCATGCACATGCAATGGAGTATCCGCAATAATTTTTACATCTGTTTATGAATCTTATTTGTTCTGCAACAGACATTACATCGTCGCATAGAGAAGCAGAAAGAAATTCATGGGGTTGGTGTTCTCCTGCTCATGATTGACAGGTTGGTTTCTTCTTGCTTTTTCTTGTATAAAAATTTTAATTACAGCTTGCTAAAGTGAAAGAGTGGTTGGGTAGTTGAGAATGGTCAACTTTGGATCATCTTACTATGAACCATAAAGTCTTTTTCTATTCCACGATTTCCATCGATAAATTGGAATGCCATGTAAATAACTATTGGTTTCAAAAAGCTGGAAATACTGTTTGTACTTATGGTGAATGATACTAGTATTTCATAGCATCCATAAAAAATACTCCCTCTGGTCCTTTTTACAATTTTATAAGAAAAAAAAATGTAACATTTTTTTTGTTCTTATTATAAGAAACAAATGATAGATTCAAGATGCATTAATTGCTAAATTTCTTTTATTAATATCATTAAATATACAAATTACTAACTAATTATGGATATTTTTGGAATAAAATTTATATTTATGGAAAACATAACATACTTAATTGCTTTTCTTGGTTCTGGTGATTTAGTCTTTTGTTTCTTATAAAAAGGACCAGAAGGAGTGTTTAGATAAAATACTAAAAATAAACAATAGGTTTAAATGCAAATTCATAATTAGTTTCCAGAAAACTAATTAGATAAAATTATTTCATAAACTTGATCTGATGTAATTAGTAAACTTTGACCAATCATACTGTATTTGACAGCATTGGAGCTTTTCATTGGATGGATCGTGCTTCAATGTTCTTGTCTCAAAGAGAAAACAACAAGTAAGTAATACATATGTTGATATTTTCTAGTGAGTGGCATGTGTATTTTTGCTCCTTGTTTAAGAATTGTCAAAGAATCAATTTATATTCTGAATTCTAAAATAATCAATTTGTCCCGTTTTAGCATTTTTAAGAAAGAGTTAAAACTTATAAAGCAAGGGAAAGGATAATATTGACGGGAGGTTCTCTTAACTGAATAATTGGTTCAGATATACGTTCATTTTCGCTCACAAATGTTATATGTGATGCAGGAAAAAACTTTTCCTCCAGAGTGTGTCAGAAGCTATAGTTCAGAATATCAAAAAACTTCTTCAGGTGCACCCTATGCTTATTATAGCTACAAAGTCAGTGATATTTGGGAATAGATATTCCACAGCTTCAGACAAGGTCAAAGGGTGAGTTCTGTAGTGTTTATGGTAGTTAAAATTTTCTAGATAATAGAGAAGCTTGAACAACTATTGAATCTCACCTGAAATCTTGTATGAAGAGAAAGATATCTTTTGATTCAGTACATGATGGATTTTATTAACACCTTACGATATGTCAAAAACATGCAAACCTATTTAGGAGAGTTGAGTTTAGGAAGAGTTGGCCTATTTCAAGGGTGATTGATTAATAGGAGAATCATTCTAGTTGATTGATTGCTGTTAATTAGGAGGTTGATTGAGGGGTAATTGATTGACAATAACACTATCATATTCTTTCCGCTAATATGAATATAGGTATTGGCTTGGAGGTAATGCAAGTTTCCTCCCTTTTACAATGTCCATATATATATGTAGTCTCTCTAACACAATAACACCTCTGTGCCTTTATTTTTTTTTTCTTTCTAATATTTTTCAACAGATTATAAAACCAAAAGAATAAAGTGAAACTCACATAGTTTAATTGTGATTTGACAGGTCCTTTGCATTTTCAATGTCTAAATACTTTTGTTTTGTTGTTTTGCTAATCATTGACCTGCCACTAATAAACTATAAGGCAGTATTTTCTGTTCTAATCTCAATTGGACTTCTTGATGACAATACCCTATAACAGGAATATGGAAGAAAGATGTTCAAAAGATGTAACAAGAAACCATCAAAATTTTCAGCACCGTGAATACATGCCTTCTGTCTGGCAGGTAAAGGTTTTGTTACTGTTTGTTACATGCATACATTTGTGTGTGTTAGTGTGTGCCGAGATCAACTCTCTTAAAATTTAATGATTAGGAGAAGGCCTAAAATTGGTATGATATCTGATATACTATTATACTAATAATGGTTATTATAGAAAGTTGAAGAATATTGCACAAGGCAATAATGACAGTTGTGAGAGAGAGATAGGAAAAGAGGAGAAAGTGAGAGTAATTATCTAACAATTGTATAAATAAGCCAATGCCTTTTTATTGAGCAAACATGTGATATTTATAATCAAATTTTTTTTGGCAAAACCTTCTGAATCCTGATAGAAAACCACCCACATTTATCCTTACTTTGTATCATAGATAAGGTTTTAGATATACTCTAGTAGGACTTGGATTTTCAACTATATCCACCAGTTTCTGCTTATTATTATTATTTAATTATGTGTTGCTATTTGCAATCATTAAATGTAGGATTTTTTGTTCAGTTATTAAATTTCAGGCAGGACATCAATTAGCTTTTCGAGTACCTTTTTGCACATTTGTTTGAAGATGTAAACCAGTTGTTTACAGAAAGACTCTTTTCTAAATATTGAGCATGACTCAAAAGCAAAATTATGAACTGGCTTGCGGCTACTGTTATGGTTTCTAATGCCTTGTATTTTCCCTGATTGAAGAAAGTGGAAGATTTTGTATTTTCTAATGTGCATGCCTATTTTTTTTTTTATTCAGTATTATGATTTCTAATTTGATGCTGCTCCTTCAACTGTCACAGTCTTTTGTTACACATAGAATACTTGTACGTTCTTCAGGTTTGGACTCCATTGCCCCTGATTATAATTGACAATTGCTTTTGCCATCAATCATATTTCAAAATATTCTTGCCTTTCAGATGATCATCCTGGTAAAAGCAATTATCAAAACACCTCATTCTATTTGTTGGAATGGTTATTACCAAGATTGAGTTTTCCGGATAAGATTGTAGTAAAAGATGTAAGAACCTGATGAGTGGATCATGCTCTTTAGACAATTTGAAGTTTATTTACAACAACAATAACAAAGCCTTGATTTGATGTCCTTGTAGGCTGGTGTCTTTGTTGATCCATGAAGTATGATTGCTAAGGGATGTCTATATGTGATCTATTACAGGTAACATTATCTCTTCTGAACTTTCAAAATATATGCTTGTCATTATCCTTATTACTTTAGCAGTCCCCTTATCTGCTTTTAAATTTTTTGTTGGTTGTGTTGTTAGTTGATGTTATACCGATTCACTAAAAGAACTTGAACAAAAAGAGCTTGCATGATGACTCGATATTATGACCCAGACAGCATCCAACTTATTGTCAAAATCCATTTTCGTCAGAGGTGTTGTTATTTTGGTATGCCACGAGAAAAGGAGGGATTTTGTTTCACTTTGCTCTTCCAGAAAGGTTGTCCATTCTTCTAATCATATACAGGGACAATAACGCTGGCTGAGGATATCCTATCAAATATTTTCTTGGCTAATGAGCATTGGAAGTGTAATTATTGGGCAAAATCCAATCGTGTCAAAGAAACCTACTGGCAGCTTCATGGGCTTCCAGGAGGTGGGAGGATTTATACGCTTAGATCACTAGAGTCCCTCATCAAAAGAAGGATCTAATATTGCCAACCTGATTGGGAAAACTTCTGGCATTTGTGCTTGATAGTTGGATTGTATTTGCCCTCTACATTCTTTCCTGTTCATGATTTGCTTACATACTCCATATGTGTAACTTTTCAGTGTCTGTAATATTAAATTCTCGCGCCTATAGTTCACATCATGAGTAGTTCGAATATAAGTATTACATTCTTTGTTAACAAAAATGTCTCTCTCTATTATTGTTTTGTGCATTCCTAAAATACAACATATATTTTTACGTGATGATTGCATTTGTTGATAATCTGTTGAATAACTTCTTTTTTTCTTGTTTCTTTTTAGGATGAAGTACATATTATGTTTGGTAGAACTTTTGCAAAATAAAGGAAATGACTGAGGTTTTCCGTGAGGCCCACCATTTTCTTATGCCCTTTCGGAATGAAATGAATTTTTTGGGTTCTGGTATATTTATTTACACTAGAAAGCTAGAAATTCCCACTGGTTGCCGTGTCTGTTTTACTCAGTCAAGTTTAATTGACTAATATTTGATGAAATTTACTGCTTGTTATTCTATTAAACAACCATTTCCCATATGCTCCAAGCAAACACAATTACCCTCGCTCTACATTCTCTAGAGTACTACTGTCCAATAGAGTTTTAAGATACTTTTCGCCTCTTCGATTAATTTCTTATCCTATTATCTGGAAAAGAACCCTGGGATAGGTTTGTATATTTAGCCGGCTGGCATATCACTAATTGCAAATGGATTTAAATCAGAATGTACTGGTTCTGACCGTTAAAAACGTTACTGCTCGTGGGTCTTAATCCACATAATTTCCCCAGTTGGCAGAATATCGTCCAATAAGTTCCAGTGTTTCAATAATGAAATTTTTACTATTTTATCTAATCTAATGCATTGAAATTCTAAAGCAAATATAAAATAAATTACAGCTTTTTACAGTACCATAATTACCGTCATTCTTGGATATTTAGCAAAATCTTGGCGAGGCTCTAGCGTGTTCATGATTAAACAAGACATTATGGCTAAACAACTTTGACCCTTGACCTTTCATTTCCTTGGGCAATTTCTCTAGTTCTACTACTCTCCATTGCAATCTCTCTAGGTTTAGTCTCATATCTTTTTTCTCTTCGGAGAAGTTGTCTTTCTTGGCTTCATTGTACAAAACTATTTGGGAAGACTTCTTTCTTTGAGTTTCAAGTACAAAGTCACTTGTTGAAATTTGTGATTGTTGAGAAATAAGAGCCTGCATTGCAATCCTTGGAGGAATTCTTGGGTTCTTGGCAAGATCTTTACTGGCTTCGAAGCTGAGTTTTCTGTAATTAAGACATCTACACAATCTCGACCTTTCCTCAAATGTGATAATTGGATGAGACTGCAAATCATTATTACTTACGGAAATGAGAAAGTTTTATACAATATCATCGTAGTACTCAAATATGGAGTATAAAAGAGAGAGAAAATTTTAATCCTACGTTGTAGTAACAGGTAAATGCTGAGCAAGATTTCAGAATATTTAAGAATTAAGATCAATGGCACTTATGAATGACAAATTTTATTTACGGTAATTTTGCCGTTCTAAAAATTTTCGAGAGTATAATTTTATCAGAAATGCGCTGAAAGTGTAAAGAATTTCCAACGAAGAGCTTATTCATGCCTTGAGTTTAATAGATTTTTCACTTTCCTCGTACCTTTTAGTAGTAAGTGTAAACTACAACGTAAAACACAACACAGGGATAAGGTTCAAGACCACAAAAGACAGGTGAAAAGAGATAAAATACGGATTGAAAAGTTAATATAAAAATTTGGCGCTAGAACATCCAATTTATTATTTTGACTGTTGAAGCTCCTATTTAGATAATGCAAGAGAGATACTCTCAGAAAGATGGGGAAAATAACAATTTGGGTGTCTTAATGGTAGAGAGAAAAGTTTGAAGTTTATTAGATATTTTTTGTACTGATCTGGACTACTTTCTTGGTTGATTGCATATGACCCATATATGGTCATATACATGTATACATATGTAAAACAAACTGAGAATAAAACAACAGGGATTTTTATTGTTTCTAATCCAAATTTGTGTCAGAAAACAAGGTAATATTTTTGTAAAACTAAAACAGAAAAGAATTGTTTTCTGAAGCCAAACAATACACAATATGTATATGATTGATCAAGCATATGAAAGCAATGGAAAAAATGTATATTTCACTCACCTCAAGATAGATGTCAATGGCTTTGTAAACTCCATCGTAGCAATCCCTTGCAGAGTCTGGCAAGCATTCTGCAACCCCGAGAAATTTAGAGATCTTGAGGTTCTGGTCAGGGGATATCTCTCTCAAATACTTGTCAATTAATCTACCAACCCTTTTCAGTTTATGTGAAGACACTCCATCAGTGCCATTGACATCAACGAATAGTCTAACCAATCTTATCACCAAATTAACATCATAATAAACTCCCATATCATGCCCAGAGACCAGAAGATCATCCAAGGTGGCTTGGTCAAGCATGCCACCAATCAATTTCTCCAATTCAGTTCTGCAATCTCTACTCAACCCAAACCCAGTTACAATCCTTAACACCCAAAAAAGACCTCTGCAAGAAAAGGTCTTTTTACCAACAACTACAACCCCATAAGCAGCTGTTTCTGCAAGAACAGCGTATTCATTGCTGTTTCTACTAGTAACCACTTTGGTTTGTGTAGCTATTTTCAGATAATGCAACAGAAATCTTGTAAGGATCAAGTTATTGTTACCAGCTTTGTATGCTCCAATAGTCTGAAAAAGTTTTTCAATGATCTTTGGTGGTAAAGTTGCCAAATCATCAAACCACCATGCTTTGCTTGGCAAAGTTGACTTGATTTTTTCAGGGGTTGTTTTGGTTGAAGAAGAGAATCTCTTAGCAGAATTGCTTTCTGGTGAAGAAGATGATGATGATGCTGAAGATGAGGAAGTGAGTTGGTTTGTATCTGAACTTTGAGCAATCTTTGCTAAGAGAGCATAAATGATCTTCTCCAAGAGACCATAGCAATCTGCATATGCATAAAACAGTTGGCAACTCATGAGACTTACAAGTATGTCATTCCATTTCCAGCAATAGATTCCCTCAAGAAAATTTTCTGTTTGTTGGAAGAGATTGTTGCTGAAGACCTCCTCAGTCATTCCAAGATAAATGGCACAGCAGTGGAGGAGAGACACATTAGCCACAGTGATTGGAATTTTGCCTTTGTTGTAGCAGAACCTTGAAACTAGTTCAAACCCATCTGGGCCTCCAGGAAAATCACTGATTCTAATTCTCAAGTCCTTCTCATGACATCTTCTCTTTTGATGATTCAAGATCTTCTTCACCCTCCCACAGTATTTTGATATAATCTTCTGCAAAATAAATGCCTTTTTCTTTGAAATATCTATCGATTAAGCTAGGAAGAATCAATAAAGAACACTAAGGAATACCTCTTTCAAAAGGAAATGCTGACCATCAATGTTGATTTGCAAGTCACAGGGCTTCGACATAGCTACTTCTGAATTGAAGGAAAACTGATAAAATTTTGCTTTTGGATATGTACCCTTTTATGACAAAAAAGAAAATGCTTTTTTACATGAAAATATATCCTATAATCATCCTACTATGGCCTGGTTATATCTTAATATTCTAAAACCAAATAGGTACTTTATTTTTTCATGTGGCAGAGGGGTGCATCATTCCCAACTCAAACAATTAAATTATGAACAAGTTTCCGCTAAAGTGTCCTCAAGTTATTTGATTTGAAATGGTTTCACGTCTCTCTTATTTATGTTCTATATAAGTATTTGTTTTATTATTGAATTTGTTTTTCTGCCGTGAGTCTACAGTGTTAGTATTATTTTGTAGTTTTGGCTATTTTATGACAGATCCCATGTATATGTCCTGTTTATGACAAGTTTTGGTATTATTGTAAACGTGGAGGCACAGGAGCTAATACCCTATTTGTATTTGGCTAAACTGTCCTATTGTCCATGTAGCCAACAACTTGTTCTAACATGAAATAATATAAACTTTGAAGGAAATCACAATAATGTTTTGTTTTAAAAAATCATGTGTGTGTTGGTGGAACGAATAACAAAACCTTATGTGAGGATTTTGTCTGATGCAGGAGATACTGTGTGTAAGAAAGGAAGTGGAAACCCGAAGTATGTTTGTTAATATTTCAGTATTTCACATTCATGTCACGTAATGCAACTCTTCTGTGGCTCCTGCATTTACATGAGTGAGTGATGAGTTAGCACTTTCTGAACACGTGAAGATGGAGCCTACAAGGATCCCGGAAAACTATTATTGTGTCAATTTCATCTATTTAAACTGGTATTATATTATGAGCACTGGTATTAAATTACGAGGGCATGTCTTTTCTTTCTTATACTACCCTAAGTGTATAAATCCTTAATTCTATAAATTCTTACATTTTATACCAATTTTTTATTTAACTTACGTTTTTTCAGATTTATATTAATACGAGAAGATCATTCCTCTTGTATTATTAATCATTTCCCTTGTATTATTAAGTACATGTTTAGAAATTTAATAAAGTCACGTTTAATCATATTTCAATGGGAAAATTATGATCCGTAGCGTTAAAATGGATTTATATTCAAATAAATTTGACGTAGAATCAAATACATTATAAAATTTGTATTATAATTTTATTTTCTTGACTTATTTTAAATTGATTAAATATCATTTTCTTGGAATATTATATTCCAATAACTTTTTTAAATCATGAAAAAATTAATAGATTAATTAGGAGTTTTAGTTGATATAATTTTTTTTATAATATTTGGCGTGAATATTTACAGTGTTGTTTAACAGTGAGTTATATTGTTAAATGAGTTTTACTTTTTCGCTAATTATTGGTTTATAAGAATTAAAAAAAAACTCTATCAGAATATTACAGTAAAAATTTATCATCTCCTTGAATATTACAGTATTTATTCCAATAATTATACCATTTACACTATTTGTTTTTAATAAAATAATCATCCTTAAACAAATTTAACTAAGAAAATATAAACTATAAATAGTTATTTTTTCATGTGTATGTTTTCTTCCATAAAACTATAAAACAAAGAGAAATCTTGTACAAAAATTCTGGCGACCGATGCATTCAAGTGAGTGCAAACATTGTAGCAAAACTCTCCATCGGAATAGTTAATACAATTAAATTTAACTATTGGCGAAATTTGTCAAACTTTATTAACACATGAATTTCAAGTTTACATATGAAGTGCTTGTACGTTAATAGGAGTATAATCTGGGATTAGTATTACATAAAAACATTTAATGTAGAGAAATTAAGCGACAAATTAAAGGAGGGAATATATTTAAACTAGTATTAACTTGTAAAAGTAAATGTATAAATTGAATATATGAGAATTAAGAAATATTAAATTCCCATAATATATAGAAAATTTCTATTTTGTTTTGAATTAGAGGCGTCGGTGACCCACGTCAAATAAATTGGTAGTTGAAGAAGAAGAAAAAAAAGCATAATACAAATAAATGTCTCAAGAAATATGCTAAGGGAAGAAGAATGGATGAATGAATCACGTCACGGGTCTCTCTGCCGACCAATGTAATGCATCTCTGAATATTAAAATGTTGATCACGAGCAACTTGCCCATTTTATAACTCACCTGTCCACTCGCCTACACACAAAGCATCTTATTCTAACCATTCTTAATAATTTCTTTTTTTATGCCTTCACGTGTATTTATTATTATTTTTGTGCTTTTATTACTAGTTTTTTTTACGGCTAAACTTTTATTTAATTGATTGATACACCAACTATATTGAAACACTTTTTGGAGAGTGAACAAAAGAAAAGGACGATGCTCTCCTTTTTCACGAGTCTAACCAAGTTGGGTCACATGTTTTGTCCAAAAACGTATTGGGCCAGTCTCATTTTTCAAATAGAATCAGAGACTTGGACCGATGCAACACCAGAAAAACCAAGTTATTGGAATGGACCCAAAGAGTTATATCTCGTGAAATTATACGTGTTAGGACTAGTTATGATTTCTCAACCCACAAAAAACAAGAAAAGAAGTGGTAGCTACTTTGATTTTCTAAATTATCAATTTAGTTCCAAAATTTATATATAAAATTTTATTTTTTTACTTATTTTTATAATATCATTTTTTTATTTATTCTCATCCCACACATTATAATCTCTAAATTTACTAATATTACTCATTTTAATTTGATTTAATAAAATTATAAATTTAATTTATTTATTTTTATTAAGATAGACTACACAAAACAACAAAACAGAACTAAATTTCTGTTCTAAAATTATAAATACCTAAAAAATTCAAACTCAGAAAGAGAGTTAAATAGAGAAGACTTTTATCAATATAAATAGTATTTATAACAATCTCAAGACTTAATTTAGCTAACATATCATCACAAATTTAATTTTTAACTTTATAAAATATTAATTATCAATATGATAGAATAATTGTTCATATTTAATTTGAATTAAGAAAAAGATATAAAAATATAATATATTTAATTTGTTATTTTAATGCACGTTATATATATATATAAAGATATTATTTTTAATATTCTTATTTTTACTGACAGAAAAATGAAAAGTAATTGTTTATCTCTAAAAAAAGATATTTACTGAACATTTTGTGAAGAATGTATTTGGCTTGTTTTGTTTTAATAAATTAACTTTTATTTTATTTCTCTAACTTATAACCTTATAACACGTTTACATTTGGTTTAATTATGAAAAGACAATATCTATATTATGTTTTAAAACAAGTTAAATTCAATATATATACTTATTTAGCTAAATTAAAATATCCAATAAAAAAATTCTTATTTCACTAAGTTATAGTTTGAAAACTGTTAAGCAATTTGAGCACTTAAAGACCCAAATAATCTACCCTTCTTTAAAGACTTGGAACAGAAGTTGACTCTGGAACCTTGCCTGCTGCTGTTGGGTTCGTGGCTTGTTAATGGGGTTAGATCAGAAGAAAAGTTTTGGGTGATTACATTACATTACACCAATGCTATGCAATTTTCAGCTACCTTGTGTAACACCCTTGTATTCCTCTTCAAGAAACACCACACTGTGGACCAATGCAAGCAAATTCAATCCATCATCGTCACCTGCGGTCTCTATTCAATACAAGACACCCCTTTCCTCACCAAACTACTCCAATGCGTCCCTTTCTCTCAAAACCCAAAAACTTCTCTTTGCCTTCTCTTCAACACCATCCACACGCCCAACACTCGCCTCTTCAATAAAATGATCGCAACTTTCTCTACCACTTCCCACCCCCAAACTTCTCTTCTATGCTACGCAACAATGCGACAAAAGGGCGTGCAACCAGACAAACATACATTTCCTTCGCTTCTCAAGATGTTTTCAAACTCAAACTCTGTTGGTCAAGACCCTTTTATGCTTTATGCTCAAATTTTTAAACTTGGGTTTGATCTTGATCGTTTTGTTAGCAATACCTTGATTCCAGCTTTTGCGAATTCTGGGTTTAGGGAAAGTGCGTACCAAGTGTTTGATGAAAGTCCCTTCAAGGACACTGTTGCTTGGACTGCATTAATTAATGGGCATGTTAAAAATGATTGTCCAGGTGAGGCACTCAAGTGTTTTGTGAAGATGAGATCGACGGGCATGAAGGTTGATGAGGTTACTGTTGTTAGCATTCTACGTGCTGCTGCATTGGTGGGTGATGCTTATTTCGGAAAGTGGGTTCATGGGTTTTACGTGGAAGCAGGGAGAGTGCGGTTGGATGCTTATGTTTATAGTGCTCTTGTGGATATGTACTTCAAGTGCGATCATTGTGATGATGCCTACAAGGTTTTCAATGAAATGCCGTATAGAGATGTAGTTAGTTGGACTGCGCTTGTTGCTGGTTATGTGCAATGTAGCAAGTTTCAAGATGCACTCCGTGTTTTCTGGGGCATGCTGTTGGACAATGTTCTACCCAATGAATATACGCTCACAAGTGTTCTTTGTGCATGTGCTCACATTGGGGCTTTGGATCAAGGAAGGTTGGTCCATCAATACATAGAGTGTAATAAGATAAATCTGAATGCAATGGTAGGGACTGCTTTGGTGGATATGTATTCAAAATGTGGATGTATTGATGAAGCTTTAAGGGTATTTGGAAACTTGCCAGTCAAGAATGTTTGCACCTGGACTGCGATAATTAATGGGTTGGCTGTGCATGGGAATGCAATGGGAGCATTGAGTCTCCTCTCTTGCATGCTAAAAAGTGGTATTCAACCTAATGAGATTACCTTCATTGGTGTTCTTGCTGCATGTTCTCATGGAGGTTTGGTAGACGAAGGGAAACGGTTATTTGAATTGATGAGTCGTGCTTATCATTTGAAGCCAAATATGGACCATTATGGTTGCATGGTTGATCTGCTTGGTCGAGCCGGGTATTTGGAAGATGCCAAACAAATTATCGATAATATGCCAATGAAGCCTAGCCCTGGTGTATTGGGAGCTTTATCTGGTGCCTGCATGGTCCACAAAGCATTAGTAATGGGTGAACATATAGGGAATTTATTGGTAAATCAGCAGCCAAATCATAGTGGAGGTTATGCACTTTTGGCAAACTTGTACTCAACGTGTCAAAACTGGGAAGCAGCTGCTCAGGTCAGGAAGCTCATGAAAGGATCAAAGGTGGAAAAGACTCCAGGATATAGTTGGATAGCAGTGGATGGTTTTAATTCATGAGATTAACGGTGTGTTTGGATGGGGGATTATGGAGGGAAAGGGAAGGTATCTAGACATGTTTTCCCATTTTTGGGAAATCTCTCTCTCTCTCTCTCTCATGAAAGGCTAATGAATTTACAAAAATCTATCATCACCAAAGATATGTCAAGATTTTGCAAAGATCCTTTTTATGTATGTCACGTTTCTGTCTTCTTGAATCTGTGTGAATATTGTTGAATCTTAGCTACATATGAACTCTGTGCTTTGAATCATTCTGGTCCTTTTTCATGTTTCATCTTTTAATTGAAGAGAGAAAGAGATGGAGGGTGAGACGAGACAAAGAAGCAAGAACGGAGTTTGCGAAGTCTTGAAGCTGATTCACAGGAAGGTGGGAAAATCCAATGTGATTCTTGTTTCTTTTCATTTGGCTGGAATTTATCAGTTGTTTTGAATTTCCTCTTAATTCTGTTCCTAATTTCTTAACTTTTTCCTAACCTCTTGGTAGAAAACATCTTGCTGAATGATGTTTTGCTTAAAAGGTTTTTCTTCCTCTAAGATTAATGTCCTGGTAATTCTTGCATTCATGCTCTCAAATTAATATTTTGCTTTCCTAGATTGATTATAAGAATGCTGAGTACCAGATGTTTGTTTTAATTTGTGAGTCAAAATTATGCAAACTAAGTTGGTGAAACTTCCTGGTGCTGAGATATAGAAACATGGTTTTGCGTATGTAGAACGAAGGAGCCTTTTTTGGTTTTTATTTTGTTCAAAAGTTATACTAGTGGATATTCCTAGAATCCATGAAGTTTATGGCTCAAAAATGTATTTTATTATTTTGGTACTGTTTGGGCTGCTCCTAGAAGGATTACATTGCTCATTGCCATAATTAGAAATGCTTGATATCATGACACCTGTTGACAAACTTTCTGATAATATTGATTATTTCCCAGTGGAGAAAATTGTGTCTATTTTTGTTCTAATTTAAGAATCTGACTTGTGGTATCAATTTGGTAGGAAACTACGGGGTCTGCATAAAATTGTGCAGAGTATGTTTTGTAGAATTGAATATTGGAGAAATTTTGAGGGGAGAGGGGCCAGAAGATTCATTGTAAGTTTGGTTCAGTGCTTTTTTTAACTGGAAAAATTTTAAATTCAAGACCAAAGTCAACATAAAGATTGTTTGGGAAAATTCTAGGAAAAAAAAGTATTTATATATTATTTATGCTGGGGGGCAATGGTGAAGTGAAACAGGGATGAGGTTCGAAGAGATTTATTGATAAGTTCACATTAAATAGAGTAATAGACTAGTTTTATGATGAATCTTTAATCAGGATGCGGTACTGAATTATATTCAATTACTTAACAAATTGGTATGTTTTTTGGCTAATTTATGGTAAAGATATTCACTACGATTAATTGTCCATTATTGTTCATTCCCTATTTACCTTCTTTTTTACCATGATTTTGTGATTATATGTAGCTTATTCAGCAATGCTGTATATAAGAATCTTCAGATCTAATGTAAAGATAAGAGAAAAAGGTTAAACTAATGTATAAAAGCAATTTGAATTAGATTCAAATTTGAAATTAAATAATATTTAAAATTTTAAGAAATGACAGATACGCACATAAAAATCTTACAAAACTTTCCATAATAAAGATGAATGAGTAGCTGAGATATTTTATGTTTTCTGTAGAGTAAGGTAAATGGATATATAAGCTTTATGCATGAAGCCTAATTATTGAGTTATATTATGAACATATTATAAAGGAAAATGCAGTATTGCGTGATTTTTACAATAATCATTTCCACTGATCAAAATGTGGAAGAGTTGGAATTGGTCTCAAGCTGTAGCATTCATGTCAAAGTTGCTTTTCAAGGTGTTTGTGTAGTTCTAACTCAAGAATTTATGATTTGCAGTTGGAATGGCACCTATGAGAGTTTACTTGGGACCAACAAGACCTTTTTCCCCAGTCCATTCCTCTTGGAGCAAGTTCTTGTATTCTAACATGAATCTTTATCTGTTGAGAGACTCTTGTATAACGGAGAAAGTAGAGGCATGAGTTTTGAGTTTGATCGTTTCTTATCCAGATATGTGACCATTTTATGCAAAGCCATTTTGGTTGTTCATCCTAGAAAATTATGATTGTTGACTTTTGCAAGCTTGGGGTTGTTCACAGTACTTCAACTAGTTTGATCCTTGAGCTTCACCTTGATGTGGTCGTTGGGATGGGAAGGACCTATAGATATCGTGGTTTTATTTAACTTTCTATTGGTCAAAGTGTTTTAGTTACTCATGGATGTCTATTGAACTGGCCATAGCTTTGGTAGGTAATACTGTATTGGGCAGATCGCTATTGTGCTCAGTTGTTTATACAAATAATCATCAATCGATATATTGATACTGTCTTGTTTCTTGTTCAACCTGTATATTTGTCATTGTGCGATATCAGGAATTTCCTCGTGTCTTTTGAATATTCATATGTTGTATGGTTCACTTCATAGATCTGGTGTTGGATACCTTAAACAAAAATATAGTATGCGTTAACTGTAAGCACTGTTCAACAACTTGACGTATATGTATGTCTTGTAGTTAAAATCACTGGCTTAAGAGATGTGTCTCGAAGCAAATGGAACATTTATACCATTTTTTTTTGTAACAATCGAGCACTTATCTTAGTGGAGACATTGCAAATCAGAAGTTACTGGCAATTTGTCATGAAGTTAATAATTTCTTGAACTTCTGTTGCTTTTGTTTACCCTTCTCCCTTCTCTTTTCTTTCCTTCTTAACTCTTAAACACACCCTAAAGTCTCTAATCATATACATATCAAATCATCTGGTGTTCATTCGATCTTGGAGATGGAGAGCTTAATATTGCAGCTAAAACTGGCCAGGCAAGTTCAACGGAGAGAAGATTTCAACCGAGCATCTACTACATGTTGTGTAGTAGGTTACCAATGGATGTGAGTGTGGGATCAGCAACATGGCATATTGCTTCTTTTTTATTTTTTGTAATATTTTTTGGTCAGAGCGTTTTACTTTCAATGATAACATGTCAATGCTAAAAAACTTTAGATTGGTAAGAAACAAATTCGACAAGGGAACTTCTTTATGCTTCACTTTTAACAAGTTTAAAATTATAGAATACAAATGCTTTTTTGAAGAAAAATTTAAATACCGAGTAGGGAATTTCAGAGCTCTCTCTCCCTCCAAATATAACAGTAATGAATTTCTTAAATATTCTTTTAATTTTTTTTAAAAATTGATTTTATGTGTTTAATGAAAAATATTTATGATTAAAAAAACATTATAACTGATTAGTGATTTTTTTGGCTTTTAGAATGTCTATTCATAAGAAACCCGGTTTAATAGCCAAATCCATAATTGGAACTCACGTATGCAAAACTATTATTACAGTAGAGGATTTAAAACATCATATTACAAACATGTCTTTGAAGTTTGAAACCATCAACGTCGGTCTCACTTTTAGTTGAAAAAAAAAAATACTAGATCATTTATCGCTATTCATGCTCACCAGATACTTATAATATACTCTCTACAAGTGACATGTTTTTTTTTTGTTGTCTTAATCTTGAGCCTTTTTGTCATTATTGCCATTTTAGGACATTTTCTATTGAACCATTTGTCACCACCGAAGATGGTGCGGTTTGATCACATTAACCAGTGCCCCTAATATTTAAGTCGCAAAGGCAACTATCACATATCTCCTGATAAATTAAATAGAAAAAGCTTTAATGTCATTGTTATGTCTACTATTTCCACCCGTTTCAAAATAGGGACATACAGCGAATAAAGGAAATTGATAAAGTCTTCGACAGTATAAATGCAATAGAAATACGCTAAGTGGAAGGATACATTCTTATTTAGTGTACGTGAAAAATGTAATCATATCATATATCACTCAATGATATGTATATATTACTAGTGGCAATCATTGTCTTTAACTTCAATCATTTACATTTAATTTTTATTATTCACCAAAATTAGTATATAGAGATTTTCTATATTCTACTTTTCTAACCAATTGCCCTGGCTAGAGCCATCTCCGATTTTGATTCCATTTAAAATAGTAACTCTAAAAGCAATTCGATTTCATTCGATGTTCATGTTTGTCATGCAAGAATGATCGGAGTTGTATATAGTAATTTCAACTGTTTCCATTTTTTGTGGTTTCTGCATAAATTTGGATGACATCTCATGTCAATAAAGTATATGAATATGAGGTAAATTGAGGAGTTCATTCAAACGATGGATAGAAATGCAAAGTTAATTAAATTACTTGAAATAATAATAAAAAATGATGTGGTATTATGAAAAATGTGAAGAATTATACAAAATAATTTTTAACAATGTATGAAATTACTTAGACGGAATTATTCTAAGAAAAATAACTAATGAATAAAAAATAAAAAATATAGCACTAATGTTATCAATCTATCTTAACATAATTGCTTTTAACTAGTTAACTATATCATTAAAAATTATCGCAAACAATTGTAAAATAATAATATCAATAAGGTTAAACTATATATTTTTTGTGAATAGTTAAGTTTAAATTTAAATTTTTTTCATTATTTTATATTAATGAGGTGATATACAGTTAAACATATCAAACTATAGTCATTTCAGAAAAATTATTTATAATTTTTGTCTAAATACATTATACATGTTATATTACTAACATGTGATGATAAAAAATATTCTTTTAAAATTAAAATTTATGAAGTTTAAGATTAATAAAATTTTTTAAAAAAGATTTAATCTAGTAAATGTTAAAAATTTCTAGAAAATAATGATTACATCTAAGAATTTGGACAGGAGAAAAAGACACATGGTGGGTTAACGGCGGGGACAAAATAGTCACGTTACAAATATGCATCTGCATCTCCATCTGAAGCGTATTCATGTTCATGTTGTGCACAACATTGACATGCGATCTAAATTGTAACTGAGCTTGACCCAACCAACCACACGCACACTCACCACCATTCAGCAACAATGGCTTCGTCCTTCGTCAAGCTCGATGATTCCCCTATGTTCCAGAAGCAGGTATTTCCATTCTCTTCAATCAGATCACTCTTTTCGCATTCTATTTTGCCGCTGCATCGAACTTATCTTCAGATTTGGTTTGGTGACACTGCGCATGTCATATACCATTGTGCTTTCCGCTGACTTCGTTAGGACCGTTTGTTTTCGCTTCGACTTCTTTGTCAAATCTTCCAATTGCTGCTATCACAGACTATCAGAGTTTCGATTTATTTTGTGACATACTGTTTTATAGTGAGACACAAGGATATGGTTTGGTTGGATTATGGATAGTTTTGATCGGAAGTTGTGGAATAAGACTTTTGGTCTACTTTAGAATTTTCATTTTCCGTGATTTGGAAATTGGAACGAGTGAGGAAATAGGGATTATTGCAAGTATACGAGGTTTTTCTAGAAGATAAATATCTTCTGTTACTACTTTTTTAGGACACAGTTGTCTTCTTGGCTGCTTTATGCTGCTCAGCAAATGACTTCTTTTTGTTGTGTGTGGGTGTGAAATGTTCTCTTTCTGTTTTGTTTGATCATTGTTTTCTTTTGAATCCGGAAATGGGATTACTTATTTTCTACTTTTGGACTCACATATCTACTCTCTTCAATTACTATATGTTTATTACTTTTACTGTTTCTCCCCAAAATAAGTGTGTGCATATGCATTTTCATTTATTTATGTCGATCAAGATTCTTGGAATCAAAACTTTTTTGGAAAATTGTTAGTTCTTCACCAGATATAGAGAGATAATTCCTTGCTGTAATTTATTTATTTTTCTGTGTTCAGTTATTTTCTCTTGAAGAAACAGCTGATGAGTTAAAGGATCGGTGCCAGAAACTATACAAAGGGTGTAAGAAGTTTATGTAAGTAGTTGATGGTATTCCTGTGTAGAGTATTAGATCTACTTATGCGTTTACTAATTATATGTAAGTAGTTTATGTAAGTACAAGGTTTTTTTTTCTCTTCTGCTCATAGTTGTTTTGAGAGGATTTCTATTATTGATAATATAAGCAGATAAATTTGACAGCTCTGTTGCATTTGTCAGCCATATTGGATTGCCTGTATCTTTCATTACTTCTTTTAGGAGAATTTCATATCCCATTCCCTGTTGTATTTCTCACTTTTGTTTCTAATAGTATCATTTCATAACTTTTTCAATATGGTTTTTGAAAACATGAAGTTGGTTAATTAAATGCAAATCTGTTTGAACCCAAAATTGTTCTGAAGAGGTACCGTATATGTGGACTATCTAATATTAATGTTCATAAAGTTTAACTAAATGAAAGAAAGAGCTAATTGTTTTGTAATAATGAATTTTTTTGTCTAATTGTTGCATTGGATGGTTATTGGTTAATTATTGTCTGACTAAAAGATGTAGAAGCACCATGTTTTGGTTGCAAATTTCGCCAATCACATTAGCCCATCAAAATATTTCTTGGAACCTCACCAGGTGGATGTTATTAATTCTTTATTCTGTATCTCCTCAGGACAGCTTTGGGGGAAGCATATAATGGAGAAATTGCCTTCGCTGATTCATTAGAAGCATTTGGTGGTGGCCAAGATGATCCTATCAGTGTATCAATTGGAGGTTGTTGGAACTTATTTTCCTGTATCCTTTTACTAATTCATTTCCTCTTCTATACAAATAAATGAACCCAAAAGGTGTTTATTTTATATTTATGGAATAGCTATATATTTGTGTACTATTACCCTGACTTTTAGATTTTTGATAAATGGACTTTTATCTAGTTCTGGACCTGTCTTTTTCCTTTCAATTGTTACATAACTGTATAGTCGCTTTTATCATGTAACTTTCTTAGGGCAGCTCTGCCACCACTCAAGCTCAGCATAAACTGCTGCCTGATGATAATATAAGAAGTGGGATCCTTGATTATACGAAGACAGCACTGACCATTACTAAAAGAAAAGTGTATTTTTCTTTCTGTTTTTCTCCCCAGGACCCGTCATATCTAAGTTTATTATCACACTGCGTGAGCTAGCTACTTTTAAAGAGCTTCTTCGTTCACAGGTGAGCACATGAACCAGAATGCTGCACTTTTTCCTTAGTACTTCAATAGTGACTGTGACACTTGCCTTTCTTTAGGTGTGTTTTATTTATCTTGAAGGCAATGGCTTTTGATATGCTTATTCAACTAGCTCAAATTTGCTAAATCAAACGTAAAAAAGACAATCTCTTTTGATTTCTCTCACCTTAAACTGAATCATAGTAAGTTTGACAGGACTTTAAGTTAGTATAAATGTTTAACGTACTGATGTACTCATTTAGTGATGGTGTTCAAAGGCCTTGTAAAAATAGTGGAGATCATAAATCTATCATTCATGTAGTAGTAAAATGACAATTATGTGACTCTTTCTCCTTTTCTCCATTTTACATTGTTGTGTGTGAATTATGCCATGACAATAGCGGGCCTAGCTTGAAACAAACAAAAGAAATTAAGAAATCCAGCGGTTCATTCCTTTAAAACTCCAGAAAAGTCAAATGGAACTTCAACAACAGTTTCCTTTCTTTGAAAAAATTAAAGCAGCATGCAAATGATTATTAAACCTATGGAAGTTCCCAATTCTGAAGGTTTTAACTTTGTAATAAAAATTGAACTATAGGTGGAAATTCCTTCCTTGTTTAAGGTTTCCTTTTCATGACTCTTTATTGGCTACTAGAGCTGTTGAATGGGTTGACCCTAACTAATTTAGTCCTAATCCATATGAGCTAGGATCAAAAGTCCATATGATTAAGTGAGATAGGGCGAACCCATGGGCTAACTACCTTTAAAAAATTATTATAATCTATTACAAATGTTTATTTTATGTAACATTTTTTTACTATAAACTTATAGACAAATAAGATTGCTTAAAAAATAGATGAAGAATAATAAATTTTTATAATATTAAATATTTAAAATGAATCATTGTTATTAAATAAAATATAGTAATTTATTATCAAATTAAATTACATATTTATCTAATTTTTGTTTGTATTATTGATAATTATTAAATCATAGTAACATTTTTTATTCATATAAATTAATAAATAATTTCATAGTACATTCATTAATTTATAATAATATTTGAGTATTAACCATAAATATTTTTGCATTTTAATATTTTTATATTATTATTTTTTCTTTATTTATTTTAATAGTTTTTTTTAAGAAAATTTTCAATAAATATTTTAAAAGTCACAATAGACATACAAAGTTAACAAACTAAAACAAAGCTAGCTAAATTTTTTAAGTCATCTATTATTAAAATACTCAAAATAATTTATTTAAATGAAATTTAACATGTTTAAAAAAGTAAATGGAACATTGTTATCATGGAAATTGCAGATATATGATATTTAATATTGTAAAAATCATTGATGCAAAAAAGTAACTTGTTAAATTAGCAAAAATTAATGAATGTTTGCAAATTTAAATTTTGTCTCATTTTAATTTGATAGAATTTATTTTTAAAGTGAAATAACTTAATTTGATAGAATTTTTTATTTTTGAAAATATATTTTTTATATATAAAATATAATTTTTAACTAATTTTAAATAAAATAATTTAATAAAAAATTATAAACAAACACACATGTTTTATTAAAAAAATAACATAATAGTTATTAATTTATTTGTTAAGATGTCTCACATTAGTTAGAAATAGAGCCAATATACTCTTTATAAGAGTTAGGGTAGTCCTCTACCTATGAGCTAGCTCTTGGGAGTGAGGGCCTAAGCTTTTTAACATGGTATCAGAGTCTATCCAGTTTGAATGTTGGGCTACCACAGCGAGTTCCACCTGTGTAGATGTTCAATCTTGGGTGTGAGGGGCGTGTGTTACATGGATTTTTTATTTGAGTAATTACTTGATAGATTTCTTGTGTAGGTAGAGCACGTGTTGATTGACCGTTTGACGGAGTTTATGAATGTTGATTTGCAAAATGCGAAGGTATTTACTTTGTTGTTTCTATGCTCAATTTTTTATTTTGTAAAAGTTCTATTTATGTTTCTTTAGTAAAAAAAGTTATTTGCCAATTTTTCTAATATATGCTTCATATGGTTGGTAAAATTTCTTAGATTTTGACTATTCTGTTTTCCACCCATTCTGGCTTTTATCAGGAATCTCGCCGCCGTTTTGACAAAGCTGTGCATTCTTATGATCAGGTAAATTTGGTAAATCAAATTGGTGTTTGTAAGTCAATGTTTAATTGTCCTTGTCATGCTTAGATATTCTTTTACAGTTTAAGTGCTTGTATCATACATTGCCAAAATGATATTTTTTATGTGATGTGATGTCTGTTTTGGTATTCATCCTGTTTATTTTACTACTTTTTTTTTCTTGAAGTTATTTAGTTGTTTTTTGGGTTTAGGATTCCTCGTAAGAGTGAGTTATGTGGGTGTTTTACTCTTTTGTTTGTATTTGTTCATATGAATTTTTGGCTTTTAAGGTAATTCATTGTGGTTTATATGGACTTCTTATTTTTTGCAATTATTTCACAAGACCTTTGTTCTATTTGTCTTTTGACTAAACTTATAGTTGTTTTGGTAAATTATTCTTTGATGAAAGCTTTAGTTAATTCCAGCCTGGGTAATCCTTAATACTTGTGGAGATAAAAATGTTATAGGAAGTACATCAAAAAGCTATTTTGCAATCTGAGTGCTCACATAAGCATTGAGGTAAGGCTTGGTCAAATTCATGGTGGCGTAAGTGATTTAAGCCAACTGCAGAAGCCTATAAAACCATTTCCATTTTGCCCTTGAATGGCTCTTTGATTTGATTACATTACATCCTTGACTTTAGTGTCATAGATTTTCCATTTATCTTTTGTCTTATTTGTGTTTGGATTAGATTTGAACCAAAATACCCTATTTCTCAGATTTTCTATTAGTTTTAATATCTAACAGGATTCATGAATCCCTTTTTTCCAGTCACGAGAAAAGTTTGTGTCTTTGAAGAAGAATACGCCGGAAGACATTGTTGCTGAATTAGAAGAGGTTTGCCATATCAATTTGTACATGATTAGTAGCTTTTTCTCAAAAAAATTTAGTCTGGTCTGATATGTCCCTTAACTTTCTTGTGCCGTGTCATGATTTCAGATTATGGTGAAAAGTTTATCTTGTGACTTCACTTGTGGAGATATTACTAAGATATTTCTTGTGAAACTTACAATAGCCAATAGGTCTTAGGTGCTTTCCTGTCATTCAGATCAGATGAATTTCATAAACCATGGACTCTAATTAGGCAAGTCTATAGCAGTTAAGTTAATGCTGTCACACCCTTAGACTAGCATCCTTTCTGAATTTGAAAGGAACTCCAAAGTCCATTTTGGGTTTTAGAGAGGATAATACATGTATTAGCACTTTGGCACACTAATATCTCCATTGATTCTTAATCTGAAATTGTGACTAGTCTGTAGGCGGAAAGGATAAGTTGTCATGTGTGATATTGAACCTGGAAAGTATATATTTAAGGGACAATATGTGTACCTTGTAGTTCCAGTGATAGTTGCCCTGTGTTTTAAAGCCCCTCTATGTATTGGAGGTCTGATTTTGTGGGGCAAGGTGTTTGATTCTATTTTTTTATCTTTTACATCTTGATTCATGAACTAGTCTACATATTTGTTCACATGGTCTTATAATCCATTATTCTCTTCTATTTTTTTTCTTTTTGCATTGTTGGCATATTATTTCATGACTATATGTGACTTAAATTATTTAATTAATTATCTCATACGCTGATCCATGGCAGGACCTACAAAATTCAAAATCAACATTTGAAAAAAGTCGCTTCAATCTAGTATGTCTTCTACAATTGTGAATCTTTCTTTTTGCTGACATCTCCATTTATATTATGAACCTGGCTATTGGGTTTTAAGGAGTGCAGGTAAACTCTCTCATGAATATTGAAGTGAAAAAGAAGTATGAGTTCTTGGAGTCCATTAGTGCGATAATGGATGCTCATTTGAGATACTTTAAACTGGTCTGTAAATTGCTTGCTAATTCCTCACAAGTGATTGTTCAACTCTTTTTTTCATTAGTATTTTTCACTTGACAAGGTATCTTATGCTTCAGGGTTATGACTTGCTGAGCCAAATGGAACCCTATATTCACCAGGTATAAAGTGTGGTTTTCTTTCACTTCTTGCAAGCTTATTGAAGATATGATTATGAACATATTCTGTATACTTGTTGTTGAGATGAAGAGAAAACAAGAGACATGATAGAATCCATGTGTCTTGCCTACACATCGGAAAATAATAATATATATGTATACACACATAAGTGTATTTACAAATATACATAGTGATAGGCCCAAGCCCATATCTATCATATGATACACTAACAATAATCTAACACTCCCCCTTAAGCTGGAGCATATAAATCATATGTACTAAGATTGTTACATATATAATCAATCCTCGGACCTCTCAATGATTTGGTGAAGACATTTGCCAACTGATTATTGGAATTAACAAACTGAGTAGTAATGTCCCTAGATAAAATCTTTTCCCTGATGAAATGACAATCTATCTCAATATGTTTGATCTTCCCATGAAATACTAGATTGAGGCAATGTGAAGGGCAGCTTGGTTATCACAAATGAGAGACATTTGTATAACCTCCCCAAATATCAGTTCTTCAAGTAACTGTTTGAGCCAAATAAGCTCACAAGTAGCTGAAGCCATAGCTCTATACTCTGCTTCTGCACTGGCTCGCCACCACATTTTGCTTCTTGCTTTTTCAGAAAATTAAGTTATCACCAATAAAGACACAATAACCAGAAGTGGATCTCCTATCAGTAGGAGAACCTGCCCAATCTGCATCTGAGTATCCCACAACTCGAGTATGTTTATTGTCTTTATATAACAAACCTTATCCTGGGTTCCTTTAATATATTTTAGAATACAAATGACTACATCCCAATGACTTGCACAAGGAGAATTAAGAAACTGACTTACCACACTAATTGCAAAAGAGATGTCTGGATGAGTGACAGTGAGGTAGTTCAGTTTTCCAACTAGTCTCCTGTATCTCTTAGGATCTAAAAGTGGATCCCCTTGACCTGGTAGAAGTTTAGCATTTGGATCCATAGGTGTGTCAACGGGCTTGGAATTCATTAGCCCAGTCTCCTCTAAAATATCCAATGCATACTTTCTCTGAGAAATTACAACTCCATTCCTGGATTGTGCTACCTCAACCCCCAAGAAGTATCTCAGTCTGCCAAGGTCTTTAGTCTGAAAATGATAACAAAGGTGTTGTTTTATCTGGAAAAGGCCATGGTGATCACTACCTGTATGACAATGTTGTCAACATACACTACCAAGTAGATACACCTAGTAGCTGAATGGCGATAAAACATAGAATGGTTAGCCTCACTCCGAGTCATACCAAACTGCTGGACTACTGTACTGCAGAGACGACACACTAAGCCTGAAGACTCCCCCTGAGCAACAAAACCAGGAGGTTACTCCATATAAACCTCCAACATATCACCATGAAGAAAAACATTTTTAACATCTAACTGATAGACGAGCCAATGACGCATAGCAGCCATGGCTAAAAATAATCTAACAGAAGCCATCTTGGCGACAGGAGAAAAGGTGTCACCGTAGTTTAACCCGAATATTTGAGTATAATCTTTGGCTACTAATCAAGCTTTGAGTCGATCAACTATGCCATCAGGGCCAACTTTCACTGTGAAGATCCATCTACAACCAACAACAAATTTTCCAAGAGGCAAAGGAACGAGATCCCAAGTACCACTTTTCACCTGCAGTTTTAGGAATAGACGCAAAAGAAATGGAAGAGAGACAAGTATAATGGGATGGGGATAACTTGTGATAACTCAAGAGTAACATAATGAGGTGAAAGATTATGAGTGAAGCGTATACCTTTACGAAGTGCAATAGGAAGATCAGACTCAGAAGGTGGGACTAGAGGAGACAGAGGAGTTGGCTCCGGAGGAGAGTCAATAGGCGGCCAGTCTGGAAGGTGCGGATGTTGCAGGCAATGATAAACTTGTAGAGGTGACCTGGCTGAGGTGGTGGATCTTCCTGCACAATGGGCATGTCTGAGGGATCAAAGACAAAAAGTGTGGTGATGGATACTATGTCAGACACAGAGGGTGAGGAATTAGACTCAAAGTAGAGAGAAGATTCAAAGAAGGTGACATCAATAGAAATGAGATATCTACGAAGAGAGGGTGAGAAACACTTATACCCCTTCTGAGATCGAGAGAAGCCTAAAAAGACACACCTATGGGACTTAGCGGACAATTTATCAAGACCAAGACTAAGATTGTGAACAAAACACATAGACTCGAAGACCCTAGGAGGTAAGGGGTGGAGAGACTGATGAGGGAACAATATAGAGTGAGGTACTTGGTTGTTTAGGACAGAAGAGGGCATGCGATTTATGAGATAGCACGTAGTGAGAACAGCATCACTCCAAAATTGTTGAGAGACATGACCATGAAGGAAAAGGGTTCAAGTTGTTTCAATGAGATGTTTATTCTTACACTCTGCAACCCCGTTTTATTATGGGGTATATGCACAAGAGGTCTGATGAAGAATACCATGGGAAGACATAAATGTTTGAAAAGAATGGGAGAGATACGAGGCACATATAGAAACACCAAATTGATTTTTGACTTCATTATAAAAGGATTGAAATACAGAAAACAACTCAGAAAAATTTTCCATTAAAAATAACCAGGTATATCGAGAATAATCATCAATGAAAGTAACAAAATATTGAAATCCTAAAGTAGACCTAATACGACTCGAACCCCAAATATTAGAATGAACTAAAGCAAAAGGAGACGAAGCTCTGTTATCTCCTAAGAAATAGACTACGGCTATGTTTTCCTAATTGACATGACTCACACAACAAAGTTGACAACTTACACAGACTCGGTACGAGTTGTTGCAGCTTGGCAAGGCTAAGGTGACCCAACTGAGCACGGATGAGAAGGGGAGAATCCACTATCGAGCCAGCATGAGCAGAAGTACGAAGCTGATAAAAGTCATAAGACTCATCCGACGCCAATCATCTATCCCGAACTCCGGTCCTGTAAGAAAACATAGTCTTTAGTAAAAGAAATGACACAATCAAGAGAACGAGTGAGACAGCTAATGGATAATAAGTTAAAATGAGACCCAGGGACATAAAGAACATTATCAATGGAGAGAGAAGGAAGAGGGTGGACACTACCAACACCATGGGATGGGGCTTGGGAGCCATTAGCCAAAGTCACAGACGGTAAGTAACCAGAAGTGGAAATGGTAGAGAAAAGAGATTTATTACCAGTAATATGATCGGTGGCACCAGAATCAAGAACCTAAGGACCAAGGGAGGTGGAGTGAGTGAGACCAGCAAAGGAGTTACCTGTGTGCACAACAGAAGCAGTGGAACCGGAGGCCTGACGATCGTCATACCATTTAAGGAAGTCGTTGAAGATAGTCGGTGGGATTGGATGATCAGATGAAGGGGCATCAGCATCAGATGGCACAGAGGGAGCAACCTGGGCAACATTAGCAGACCGAGGAGGGCGACCATGCAGTGCAATACAGGTCAATAGTGTGGCCCAATTTGTGGCAATGATCGGACCTGTAACGACCTTTGCCTGGTTTGCGAAAGCGGCTATAGTCATCACGCTGGGATACTAAGGCAAAAGAGTCAACAGGGGTGACAGAAGAAGGTATGTCAGTGGAAGACTTGGGCGGCACACGCAACAAGGTTGACCAAGTGGAGGTCAAAGTGGGCACAGTCAAAGATCCCAAAATCTAATCACAAATCAAAGAATACTCGTCTGGGAGCCCATACAATGCCGTCAACATAAATAAAGTTTGGCGTTGCTCCAGTTCTTGAGTAGGAGTGGAAGCAGGGGGCATGAGTTCATTAAAATCATGTAAAAGACCATGAACTTTGCCCAAGTGCGTAGCCATGGATCCATCAATACTTTTAGGGACAATGGTACTCAAGAGATTGTGGCAAACACCATAAAGGCGTTTGGTATCATTGGTGTAAAGCACCCTAGCCTGCTCCCAAACCCTAGCACAAGTCTCATGGGCTCGAAATATATGCTTCAAGGTAGGATGAATAGTCGACTTAAGAACATTGCAAATCTGAGCATCAACTTTGGACTAGTGAGGACGATCTTTTTCGGTGATAGGATTAGCCTTCTGAGTAAGATGATCAAGATAATCCTGTCACCTTTAGCCAGAGCTTGATATTAGAGGCCCAGGTATCATAGTTACTGCCATCTAACTTGTCAATAGAGAGTGGGACATTGACATAGTTACTGAAGATGGGAGTACCAGACTTAGTAGCAGCAGGAGTAGCCATGGGTCAACTGTAGGAGAGAGAAATAGCCACAGGAGAGAGAAAAAACTTCCCAAAAAAAAGGAAGAACCCACGAGGACTAGACCTGAGACTCACAAGCAACGACCAGATCGGGATAGAGGACACTGAGGTGAGTCCGGTGGCGGCAAGGGTGGCCAGAACGGCAGCCAAACTTGCCTCCACGCGTGGCTGACGGCGGCTGGCAGAGAAGAAACGCGCCGGTGAAGAAACGGCGCGTGAGAGCCCGTCCCAACTTTGATGGACGTGATTCTGGCGGTGTTGGACTCAGAAGGACGGCGCGAGTCCAACAATGGTGTTACCGGTGGGATTTGCAGAGGGCGGCGGCGGCGGCGGAAAAAAAGAAGAAAGAGGAAAATGTGTCGAAAAAAATAACACGGCAACACAGGCAAATTGGAAACTGGAATGAGGCACGGTTTTCGAAAAAAAATTTGACAGCAATGGACAGTTGGTCCACTGGAAAGACACGGATTAGGGTTATTCCTCGTTAGGCTCTAGATAAAGAGAAAACGAGAGACATTTGATAGAATCTGTTTGTCTTGCCTACATAGCGGAAAATAATTATATATATATATGATAGGAGTGGACATGTGGGCTTGGGTCGTGAGGAAAGGCCCAAGGCATGGAGGGTGTATGTTAGGAGAAAATGGGCTAAGAATAGAAAAGATGAGGTGGCAAAAATTGTAACAGAATTGCCAAACAAGGGGGAATGAAGATTTGGGGGAATATAGGGAATGAAGAGGGGAGAGAGAG